GTGTCTGTTTGTTATATTTCAGGTATGGAGAGGCTGTGATGGTTCTTCTACCCCAGTTAGAACATTGTTTAAGGTGTCTGTTTGTTATATTTCAGGTATGGAGAGGCTGTGATGGTTCTTCTACCCCAGTTAGAACACTGTTTAAGGTGTCTGTTTGCCAGAGTTAATCAGTGTCCAGAAAGAATACTGACAGCAGAGGTTTGCTTACAACATTTTAATATTTTTGCTGTTTTGAATATGTGAATTACATTGTACCAGCTGGCTATTGAATTGTCAGACTTGAAATGTTTCTGTGAATGTTTTGGTCCATTTAGTGAAAATAATTCATTGAACTACTGTTAATTTCACTCACACTTCCTAATAAACACTATTGACTATATGAGGTTTTATTTATAACAATCTCAGACAGATGATGATGATGGCAATTTTGTTTGTTTTTTTAGTCTACCACACTGTACACCACTGTGGATGAGGTAAGTTAAATAATAATAATAATAATAATAATAATGTTAAATGGATTGTTTCTCAGTATTTTAAAACTAAAATCAAAAAGCAGAACTTTGACATAACTTTCTCTCTTCAACTCTCTATTCAGATGTTGGCCAAGTCCCTCCCTGGTGGCTCTGAAAACCAGCTCAGATATACACTTGGTGACCAGTACATGGTGGGTGACATTATGTAAAGACCCAGATCTTTTATTTTATTTTATTTTATTTTATTTTATTTTATTTTATTTTATTTTATTTTATTTTTGCACCTAATATCATGCAGTGCTAATGTTATTTGTTTATTGTTGTTTTAACAACAATTGTTTAAACAACAAATAACTTTAGCAAATAAAATGTTTGTTATGGCAGTGGCTTGCATTTATTATTGTTTAGCACTTGCACCACCCCTGTGCAATATATTTCCTTATTGTTTCATTATTGTCTTTTAGTGGAATCTCTTACTTAGGACAGTACATTTTTACTTCTGGAAATTTATTGTTTCTTGTCCAGGACATCCTGTTTGATGTACTGATCTATCCTGAGGGACCAAGGGTCAGGGATCGTATCAGTCACGGAGAAGCCAGTATATTGGGGATAAGCTACAAGCTGGCAAACCACCTGCTGTCTGTGTGCACTGCCTTATGTTTGAAGGTATTAGCAGAGGCTGAAAGATCAAAATATCTAGAGGTAAGTTCTGTTTACTTCATTGACGTTCCTCACTTTGAGTAATTATTATTTACTTAATATAATGTGCAATACTCTTAGTTTACTGCATCTGTATAAACAACCAAATATGCAGTATATTAATTATGGCAAGTGGGGTTAAAATTGTTGATAAAATCCACCAATGACAGTATATCTGTTTCAGCATCCATTCATCCATGATATCCATGTGGCTGTTGAAGGTTATGTCTCTCAGTGCCATCCTATCTCAGGGCTAAGAAAAGAAGTCAGTAGGAAAAAATTTTTGGTTGGGTTGTTTGAAATATTTTGTTTTAAGAACCTTGAACTAAAATATATTATTGGACAGATGCCACAGGGTTGTTTTACTTTAACATTTGTCCTCTTTGCTAGATGTATAAAAACAGAGATTGTATTTTCACATCAATATCTATTAATATTATGAAATTTTCTACAGTAATGAAACTTAATGATATTTGACAGGTGTTACTTTTATATTTTATAAGAGCATAAAAATGTTGTCACAATAATGTTTCATCAGAGTTCTAACTTGTTTATGTGTTCCAGATCCAATCTCTCTGCGACAAACTATCTGAGTGGAAAACTTTTCCCAAACCAGATCCAGATCAGATGTAGGTTCACTATTTCAGTTTGATTTTCTTTAAGAAACTGGGACAGTGAGTTCTATATGGGATCAAAAAGCAGGATATTTCTAAAAATAGTGTTTTGTTTGGAATGTTACCAGGTGGTCAGTCTTAAAATATCATCGCAAGCATTAATTGAAAATGGTCTACAGTATAACTCTTTTTATGCAAAGTATTCTGAATTTAAAACTACATCTCTATCATATTTTGCATTCTGTTGAGTGAATTACATATCAGTAATTACTGTGGTATTTTTCAGAGAAATGAGTAAATCATGGGGAGACTACATCCAACCAAATGAAAAGCAACTTACATGTGTATCAGGGTTACCTCCTATAAAAGATTTTCAGCCATGGTTGACATCCTGTAATTTACCAGAGAGGTAATCTCAATTTCATTTAATATTAGATTTTTCCCTTTTGATGACAAGTAGAGCCTGCATCTTAACCTGATATTCTACATAAAAACACCAATGCTTCTGTCTTCTCAAATACTGCATTACTTATTATTACCTCCGCCAAGGAGGTTATGTTTTCACCCGTCTGTCTGTTTGTTTGTCATCAACATAACTCAAAAAGTTATGGACCTATTTTGATGAAAATTTCAGGGTAGGTTGGAAATGGGTTAACTGAGAAGTGATTAGTTTTTGGTGGTGATCCGGATCAATAATCAATCAATAATCAATAATAATCAAAAATCGCTGCCTTGGCAGAGGTCTGCGCTCTCGGAGTGCTTTTCTAATTACATATTTACTTTGCACATTTTACCATTATTGAGAAATTTTTTTTTTTTCCAGATTTTTATTTCCATTTGAAGATGTATCTCCCATGCTGAAGGATATTTTGAAGAGAAAAATCTCTACACTTTACTGGGGCCAAGACAGCAGGGATACTGTATGATTTTTACTGACTGAGTGACATTGCTAGCCTGTGAAAATATCAAAATAATTAATACCTTAAGTGATGAATTACTATTTATTGTCAAGAGAATCATTTCTTTTTTATTATTAATTTTTTTGTCGTGCAGTTTTCAGTTACTTTATGGAAATAATTGCACTTCCACAGTTACTTGAACATGCAAAGACATATTGTTCCATAACATGTATTCCTTACTTGAAACAATCTATTTATTTCAGCTTAACTGTGATAAAGAAACAAGACCCATGACTGAAATGGAACTTGTGGGACTACTGCGGAGAATAGCAGTACAAGCTACTGCAGTATCAACAAATATTTATGAAGTAATGTCTACACGCTATCAACAATGGATCATCAGAGAGCTGAGGTCAAGGCAGAGGAAAAATTACATCAGATTGTTAGAAAGGTATCAGTTGTGCTAAAATATTTTAATCAAAACTCAGACAAGTTTATGAGTTCTAAGTTTCTAGTTTTTGAGTTACTCTCTTAATGGAGACAGACACTGCTGAATTTTACTCATGATGGCTATGATTTGAAATTGAGGATGCCAAAACTGGTTTACAGATCATTATTTGCCATGGATATGGTTTACCTTGGCAATAAAGAGAAAATTGTTTAAATATCCTGATATTCTGCATAAAGGTCTAATATTTACTGTATGACTTACAGTGTATTTAAGTACAGTAGGACTGCCAATCATCATAACTAGGACATCCAAGTTATGATTTAACTTTGTAATTATGTATAATACCAATCATTGGCAGTAGATGCTTTATTGTGAAAAATATTCATTTTAAGTAGCACACATACGTGATTGCAATTGAACAATATTATCAGTGTACTTCTTTGAAATCTGTTACTTGTTGTCTTACTCTTCCATTTCATCATTTTATTCTTCAACTTGAAGCATTCCCACTCTATCTGTGGGTCTACGGCTGGTTGCTATGGTGATAACAGTATGGCTGCTGAACCTAGATGCTTTTAACCTGCTCGGCAGCTCAGAGCAACTGCACATGGCAAGGTAAAGACATTATCATAAAAGTCAAAATGTTTGACAGGAGTGACCATTTTGATCAAAAGTCTGCACTGTCACCAGTCTTCTGTCAGTTTGGCAGTAATGTTGTGTGAATATTATGTAACAAGCAATCTCTTTGGAGGATGTACATTTTATGTTACTTCGGCTGATTTTCATATTTATTAACCTCATTCTATTCACCATAAATCAAGCATATACTATTAAAATAAAAGTCCATTTTCAGGCATCTGAAATCAGTCTTGCAATGTTGTGAGAATCTAACCAGTAACTGCAACATTGAGAAAAATAGATGGGAAGAGAGCTGTATCTTAGTACAAGATCTGGCTTGGCAGGTACTGGAGAAGAAGAACCTTGTATACACATTTCTATGATGGGGCAACCCTTAGCAAAATGAAGTGTGCAGCATGTGCTGCAAATGTACTGCACATATGCGGCACACTATAGACAGCTGGTCCTGGAGAAGAACCTTGTATACACATTTCTATGATGGGGCAACCCTTAGCAAAATGAAAAGTGTGCAGCACATGCTGCAAATGTACCACACATATGCGGCACACTATAGACAGCTGGTCCTGGAGAAGAAGAACCTTGTATACACATTTCTATGATGGAGCAGGTGAGTTTATTTTTCTTGTGGTGTGTAGCATTCAAATTACCAAATAAATGTTAACTAAAATCTTCCCTGTGTGTAAATACAGAAAATGAGACTTAGTAGATTCCTTACACTTGTTTTCAAATTTATTGTAAAACATAGCTAATACTGTTGGCACTTATATTTAGTTTAAAGGGAATATTAGAACTATGCCATAAATTATTATTATAGTACTGAAAATTATAATAAGCATTATTTACATTGTAATACCTAATACATATATTTATTTTTATTTTTAATAATTATAACTGTAGAGAAAAGAATGTCATTTAATGTTTATTTAAAAATATTTAGTTTATCTATAATTTTATCAAACCTGAATGATGATTTTCCCAAAAATCTGTAATTTTTCAGAATCAAGCTGATTGAAAAGATTCCCCAGAAAGAATTGTGTGCAGAGCTGTCAAATTATTACACTGAAGAATATCAAAATGATACAAAGTAAGGGAAATACTAAATATTAACTTCATGTGCCAGGGGAAATTTTCATTGGAATCTCAAATGTCAACAATGATTTAACATCATACGATATCATTGTTTAATACCCTAAGTCTTTATATTATTGTCTTTGATATTACTATTATTAAATCTTAATTTTAAATTTAAAAAAAATTCATATCAGTTGGTTTAACTCAAACTTCTAATGCAGGGTCTAAATTGGAGAACAGTTTGCTATGATGTTGAGACAAACTTGGGGACTGGATTTGCTTTTTCAAGACCTGAGGAATGTTCTCAAGGAAAGTTCATTTGAAACATTTGGGAAACTGCAGTCAAGTTGCTGAAAAGCATGTGGTATATCAGTGCCAAGAGTCTTAAACAAACCATTGCTAGGTTGCCATCTTAGGCCCCTATTTCACACAGACCACGAATCGGCAGGAATTGACAAATTTCAGGATTTGTGAGGATTCGTGAGATTTTTCCAATTTTCTGGTCTAATTCGACACGCTCACGATTCAGTTACGATACAGGTACGATAGTGTTACGAATATTCGTGCCATTCGGCTGGAATAGTGAGATTTTGCCAATTTTCTGGTCTAATTCGACACGCTCTACGATTCAGTTACAATACAGGTGCGAATATTCGTGGGATTCAGCTGGAATTGCACGAATATTGTCCAGAAATTCACTAAGATTTTTTGGAATCGGGAGTTCGTGGCCAAAACTTTGAACAGCTCAAAATTTTTGCCACGAATTCCCGATTGATCAAGAATTGCAAAAACTGACTACGATTATATACGGATCTGTTAAGAATTTCACAAACTGATCACGATTCAACCACGAATCCTGAAATTTTCAATGCCTGGCGATTCGTGGGATTCGTGGTCTGTGTGAAATAGGGGCATCAATGGTTTTGCCACCAATTCCTGTTGGTCAAGAAGTGCAAGAACTGACAACGAATATATACGACTCTGTTAAGAACTTCACGAACTGATTACGATTCAACCACAAATCGTGAAATTTGTCAATTCATGGCCATTCGTGGGATTCGTGGTCTGTGTGAAATAGGGGCATTACACAGTAAAGCAATAGAGTGTGAAGTCTCAAGAACAAGATGTACATTTGAAACTTGATATGTACTTGGATTACAAAATAAACAATCGTGAAAGGATAAAGATTATACATAACATTATTTATTTTACAGCATGCGTATGTGACCTGACATAATCACGTAACATCATTTCATTGTACTTATTTGTATACATAAGCCCAGAATCTGAGAATAAATGTTTTGTTGCAGTTGGACACATACTGTTGTTTTGTTTCTTGATATAATTATCAGAGGCTGGTGGATTGAACTCACAAAATCAGGCATTGTCTTACAACTATCACAGAAGTTAACTTATGAAAAAATGTCTTATTGACACTGTATCTCCCATAGAGTCCATTTATTTTTGCTGAAACCTAGTAAATCCCCTCAAACTTTTAATAGTACCTGCAATGGTCCACTTCTATTTCTATCATGATTCAATATTTTCCTCAAAGTGTCCATTGGTGCATGATCATGTCTGTACATTTGACAACTCTGCTGCCTAATTTAAAGTTCTGTGCAATTTAAGCTGAGAAAATTGTGATCAGCTGCTTGGATTGCTGACATCTTTGACATACATTGTCTTCAGTTTTTCTGCAATCAGTCCCTTCACAACCCTGTGAGCTGGCTGGTGCTGGAAGGCGAGTGTGGCATCCTTCCCAGCATGCTTCAGTATGATGTCACCTCCTGGATGTTGGGACACGTAGCCACTGATGTCGTACATCTAAACATACAGAAAAGGGAAAAAACATGTTGAAATTGAAAATATCATTTTAGAAACATCATTCTTAAAATGGCCCAACATCTTGCTCTCACAGCTACTTTCTTGATATATCTGATAATTAAGCCAATCTTGGCAAAAAAATGCGTGCACCTTATTATCAATAATTATCCATGGCGGATTGTCACCAGAGCTGCATGAAATGTCCATTTTCCCCAACTCTGTCGTCATGTTTATCCAGGTAACCCTGGTGTTGTCTGTTTTATAGTTGCAGTGCTTCAGACGCATATGTAACCTTAAATAAGAGAGAATTGAAGAAAACTGAAAAGTCATGTTATTTTTATATATTTTATCTCTTTTTTTTTCTGTATTATTAATTCAGAGAGAGAGAAGAACTGCAGGTCCAATGACACAAATAAAACAATCATTAGTGTCAGCACTGTCTTGAGTAATAAGTGAAACACAACTGCCTGCTGTACAGTAACACCCCATTTCCATAGATTTTTAGATCGATGTATCCCTGTGGGGAGTCTCACTAGATTACTGTCAGCTTGGCCGGCTTAAGCGTCTGTCCCGCCTACTAAAAGCTGTAAGGGGGTAATTAACTATGGTGCCCGCTCGGCTGACTGCAATTTAGCGTGAACCCCCAGGGAGTTAGGTCGATCTAGTAAATCTTAATCTTTAGATCGATCTAAATCTCTGGGAAAGAACCCTATAACTGGGGTTGTAATTGTAAACCACTCTCCAAGGAAATAAAATCTATCAGTAAACATTCCAAACAAGAGAAGTTTTCCTAATATTACATAAAGCATTTTGAAAACTTTCTGTTTTGGACTGAATTAATTTAATGCAAAATGATGACTCCAACGTTAATTAACCATGCGCTGACTGTGACGGTCAGAATTTTCTCGTTTTATGGGGTACTGCCATACAATGGTGACCGTATCCGGTCATTCTTCTTTCCTAATTTGTCCGAGTTCCCAGAACTGAGTACACCTTTTTATTATTGTCATTATTTACTCATTGTTATACTGAATGAAAGCTTTAAAACCTGTAATTGGTGAGCTGAAGACAGTGAAATGTCACCCTGCAAAATGTAAGCAGACGAACTCTTTCAAGTTTAGTCGAGATCTGTCATTTTCATATTTTACATTGAACCTGTCCGTGATTTTACTGTAATCATCACAATTTCAGACGATGACTCATTTCTTCGCTCTTGAAATGGCCGCCTAAATGCACACTGCCAAACCAATCTTACTCTTAAGACCTAAGCTTCACACCTTCAATCAACCGGTTCCAAAACAGCTACGGAGCATGATATATTTTTACTTCATTTGATGTGCAGCAGACGCAGATTTGCGTTACCAGTGTTTATAAAAAATAAATAAAATACCACCTGATATAACATAAATGTAGTAGCAAATTAAATGATCATTTTTAGCATTTTGCCCAGAAATTTCATCGAGTGCGGGATTGCAATGAGAGACTTGTGGGAGTTACCAATATGGCGGTGTAGCAAAATGCACCAGGAAAAGATTGTAAACAAGATTTGAGGTCAGAAAAAAAACTAAATATGGTTTGCTGACAATAAGGATCGGCGTGTAAGTAATTTGGTCGTTTATTTTAAATGACAAGTTATTGTTATAATTTACATTTATGGTGAATGTGTAATGATGATACATAATAATGAGTTATTATGTACGAGTAATACGACCGATGTCTCAAAAAATATCACGGGCGGTTAATATGAGTTCGCGTCCGATTGATTTTTAATGGTATATGCTTTATAGCAAAATCAATCGCATAAAATCGTATGCTTTCATGAAGGACAAGAAAAAAATGCCCCTATGATTTCTACTTTCTCTACTTCTGTGTTGATACCTACTCAAGCCAGGCACTCATTGAGTCACTGTGGAAAATTAATGTAACTAAGAATGATGTTTTTCTAACACACTGGAGATGTTCACTGATTCTGCATAGTAAGGCTCTGTGGTAATAATCATATAAAGGGTATATTGCACAAGATCTGTTTGTTATTTGTTTTAGCAAATTAATGTGTCATATTAAAATGAGCACTACAGTGCCACACAGCACAGTTGACTAGAGAGAACGACTCCAATCACTAGTAAACATAGGAAACGGTCATTCTCAAGAAGATAGATTGATAAAAAGTGAATATATTACTAGGTAATTAATATTGTTGATCCAACTTGACATACAAGTATGTTTGTTTATAAATCATTGGGTTGCACACCATATGACCACTTAATATATATTTCAGATGACCCAACATAAACAAATCTTCAGACTAAATCATACCAATTTTTCAAAATTGGATCAATGATAATTACCTAGCAATATATTTTGCTTTTAAATAACCTTATTTTGATGCAAATGACAGTTTTCAGTGATTACTTGCATCCTGATTCCTTTTCTTTAGTGTATTGCACATTTTAGTATGACTAGTGACATGTGTCAGTAGTTCTCATTAATCTAGTGGTAAGAGTAGACTAGAAATATGACGGGGTGTCCATGTTACAGTTATATGATGTTTTTTTTTTTTTTTTTTCTTTATCAAAGCACAATGCACACCATTTACCCAGACAGGTTTTTCTGCAGCATTCATATCCCCAAAATTATATTTCCCCACATAATACACTGTCGCACTATAACTTTCCCCTCTTTAGTTTTTAAAGATGTATTTTTGATAAAAAATTGTATATTGTCTGTGTTTATTGATAAGACAACAGACAACTTGCATTGATAAAACCAATAATAAGTGAAAGTTGACTACATAAAGAAATCACAAGCAAGTTACCTCAAGGGCAGTAGAATGGGCATATTTCTTTCCCACTAAATTGCTTATAACTCATAAGTTGAATGTACAGGTATTTTCAAAGTCTGGTTTTAGTGTCGCTACTTGCCGTAGGAGCCTTATTTTTTACACAGCTAATGTGAAGTAGCCTTGGTGTATTTGTTTTTAATCAACAGCTAACCAGCCACCACTGGTGAAAATTGGATGTTGAAAAAAACTGCAAGGTAGCTTGCTAGTAACATTCAGTATTATAGATAACAGTGGCTTAGACTTTAAAAGTAAAAGTTTTCTCATAGCTTTGTCTTTAAAATGAAAATATCATTTATATTTGACTGATTTGCCCTTGTTTTGTGTCTGGGATGTGCCTGAATGTAACTTAGACCCCATTTCCAGAGATTAGATCGATCTACTTTAGATCGACCTAACTCCCTGGGGGTTCACGCTAAATAGCTGTCAGCCGAGCGGACACGAAAGTTAATTACCTCCTTACAGCTTGTAGTAGGCGGGACAGACATTTAAGCTGGATTATCTGACAGTAATCTAGTGAGACTCCCTGCGGGGATAGATCGATCTAAAAGCTCTGGGAATACAGCCTTATTAAATTTATAGTATATACAGCATGCTCTCATGTCAGTTTTCTCATGTTCAAAGAGCACCTGTTACTTAAAAGCTGTATTTTAATTACGCAGCTCTTCAAATATTGAATTATTAAAGTAATTCAATATTTGAAGAGCAGTGTATTTAAGCAGGCTAGTCAAGTTAATATCAAAACCCAATGTTTATGAGCCCTTTTGAGTGTTACACTTCAATTAAACTTAAGTAACATATTTCTCAAATTTTGATTGGTCTACTAGTGTTTTTATGTACAGACACAGATGTGGCTGTACATATAGCCGTCATCTGCGTCTGTCGTCGCCGGGGCCGTCGCCGTTGGCGTGCACTTTAACTGTAAACACGATAAGTGAAAAACCGTTTTACCTTTTGGCTTGAAAGTTACAGAACTGATGAATATTCATAATACGCCGGTCAAGTTCGAAAATCAGCATGATCGGGCTATTTGAAGGGAAGTTANGCTTTGCTGCCTTGTTTTGTTTTTACATTTCATATTGAATGCAAAATAGGGATTTTTGAGCATTATAAAGAATGCTTTTATTGAACATATACTTATTTAAATCATTCAGAAGACGTCAGACTTTTAATCAGTCAGTGTTAACTTGAGATAAGATATTGTATTTTTTTTTTCCAGATATACTCTTGGAGTTGGCCTTTTCCAAGCAGCATGTCATCTAACTTCATCCCCATGCTTTCGTCAAGTCCTCCTCCTCTGGATGAGATCCAGTCATTTGACGATGGCTGGGGAACAGAGGATGGAGATGATGAATTTGGAGGCTTTGCCAGTGCTGAGACAAGCCCTTCAAAGCAGGGACCATTTGGTGATGAGTTTGGGGGCTTTGCAAGTGTAGAAAAAGGTCCAACAAATCAACCATCTCTTGAAAAATCCAGTAGTGATGATTTTTCCTCAAGCTCAACATCATTAAATAAAGCACCAAACCATACTGAGTTCTGTGGGAATTCCACTCATGACGACCCAGGTGATTGGCAAAATTTTGCAGACTTTACCTCTTTTCCGTCTTCATCAGACCCTATCAGTTGTGATGACTGGGTGACAGAGGAGAGAAGTCCCCACACTAATAACGAGGAATCAGGTGAAAGTGACTGCAGAGAAGACACTGCTCCTAACTGTACCTCAGATATGCGTCGGAGCAGCAGTAGTGTTCAGGATGATTTCAGTCGTTCCACAGTTGACTCAGGAGTGGAGGTGAAAATCAACACTCAGAACAAGATGGTCAATGGTAACACAGCAGGACAAGATGGCATCCATATGGTTGTCAGCCCAGTAAGCACTGACGATATTTCATGGGGAGATGATGGATTTAGTGAGTTTACTTCAGGGTCAGTCATTGAAACAAATGAAGAAATTCAGCTGGCAGAAAATGATATGAATGATGATAGTGAACCTAAGTCTGAAATATCAGAACTTAATAATCAAATTATCGAGAATGCAATTCCAAATTCCTCGGCGTCTCTTCCTGGAAAAGCATTTTCCAGCTCTTCTTGCAGTGACGAAGATGATACTTTAGCTGATGATAAATGTGAGAAAATGAGGACTTCAGAAAACATTTCCCCTACAGAAAATTCAGTAATTCCATCAGATTCAGCTCACCACTGTGTTCAATTGCCGTGCAGTTCACAGGGAAACGAGAATAACAATATGTCAGCTACTCCACAGTATTTTGATGATACAAACCAAAGTGAATTGGAAGAGGAAGCATCCCAGGATAATGATGGCATTAAGAGGACCTCAGACACTGGTGACGGTATGATCATGTCAGGTATGCAATACGATAGTTCTGATAAACATACATTGGCAATGGAAGAGCCAAGTGCAACAGTGTCAGATAATGAAATCTTACCTGGTTCTGGAGATGTCAGTTCAGAAAAGTCGGACAACAAAGAGGAAGACTGGCTAGAAGCAGAAATCCAGAATGAGCAGAATTTAACTTTGCAGGATAACAGTACAGGGGAGAGCAAAGATGCAACAAATAAGAATCTTTCCGAGGAGGAGTCTTTTAACAGTTTTGACAATAATGATGCCTCGTTTGCAGCTTTCCAGTCAACAGAGGGTGCTAGTGATGGGGGATGGGCAGCGTTTGAAGACACTGAAGTATCAGGCCAAGATGGGGGTTGGGCAACATTCCAGGATGCCGCACCGGATGGTGCTGTGTCAGCAGCGGACTTTGGAGACTTTACTGCTTCAGATGATGTTGATGACTTTGGGGATTTCAACAAAAATAACCAGGAGGATGGGGGTGATGATTTTGGCAAATTTAGTGTGAAAGAGGAGAATGGGGAGGGGGATGATGACTTTGGAGACTTTGGCAATTTTAGCACCATAAAAGAAGATGACTTAAATTTATCAAAGGATAGTGAGAATGACTTTGGGCAGTTTCAGGAGGATGGCAATGATGACTTTGGTGATTTCAATATGGGCCAAGATGCAGATGACTTTGAAAATTTTGATGATACTGGGAGTGGGAATGGTTTTGGTGCTTTTGATTCTCATGAGCCTCAGCGGGATGTGTCTCTTTCCAAGGTAAAGTATGCTCTACTCTGTGCATATTGCTAGAGTGCCATTGAAAATTAAGAAATTGAGATGAAAATAAAATGCAAATTAAGATAACAGTATTTGTTTTATTTGATATCTTTGTACAAAGACTAATAAGTATATATTTTAGTGGCATTGTCTTTAAAATTGCTATTGATTTCTTGCATCCTTGAAATCATATTAAAAATTTATTTTGTCATATTTCAGACCTCCAATGCCAGTCCTGTGTTCAATCTGTTATCTAAATGTTTTATGTTATATTTCAGACCACCAATGCCAGCCCTGTGTTCAATCTGTTATCTAAATGTTTTATGTCATATTTCAGACCTCCAATGCCAGCCCTGTGTTCAATCTGTTATCTAAATGTTTTATGTTATATTTCAGACCTCCAATGCCAGCCCTGTGTTCAATCTGCTATCTAAATGTTTTCCCCAAACAGCAAAGGAGGATGCCTCTTTTTCCTTCAGCAAACTCCTTGATGTCATAACCACCCAGACAGGAATACAGATGGAGAAACTGTCAGCCAATCAGGGGTATGCATAGACGTTGCAGCAATGTTGTATGGAGAATTACTTACCTGAGAAATAATTGATAAGTTATCATTTATGTTTATTTGTGTGATTTTTTAAAAATATTTTGTCTTCTTATACCCTTCGTTAAGCCACTAGGATAGGTTGTGTAACTTCTACATCATTTGACTAAAATTTCTTTATATTTATTTAATGAATTTTATTTTCCCACTTCAGGAAGAGCTGTCTGAATGTATGGTCTGGTCTCCATGATACAGAGAATACTGAAGCTCTCACGTACCAGTGGTCCAAGTCTGTGTCCAACGACAAATTGCTCAAAGCTCTCAACATTGATACAAGGAACATTGTAAGTTTTTGTGTGTTTTATGAAAAGTTTTGTAATCATGAGAAAGTCTGCTGTCAAAGGGGTTAACCAAAAAATATAAAAAAATTTAAAAAAGTAAAAGTCCAGATTGGTTGCCAGGTATGGACAGACATGTGTTGTCTATAATTCTGTGCTTCCATTTTTTAAATAAGAAAATGACATTCAAAATTGACTCTGCTTTCATTACTATGGCATGTGCATTATGCATGACTGCGTTACTTAGCCCATTATTTCACTCTATGATAAAATACAATTGGAGTAATTTATTAATTGGATTTTTGTTCAGTATTTGTTATGTGTCAGAAGTCCTAAATGTTGAGTGTTCTTCTAGCTGATGGGCCACAAAAAGCAGTCCATGCCCATCTTTGCCTCTCACCTTGGTCTTCTGGAGCCCAGCAAGGGCCCCTTACAGCCCAAGAAAATCCCCCAGCCAGAGAGCCCCCTGGTGGACACAGTGTCCAGTGTACAGCAGTCTGCCCTTACACCACAGGTACGTCTACTTCAACAGAAGATTGGAGAGTCTTTAGGGATACTACAGTTGATACATTGATGAGAGTTTGTTTTGGCTGGTACAGTTTTCAGTTTGCAGCAATGTTCCAAATTCTTCAATGCTTTGGTAATTACTGATACAGTTTGCAGCAATGTTCCAAATTCTTCAATGCTTTGGTAATTACTGATACAGTTTGCTACAATGTTCCAAATTCTTCAATGCTTTGGTAATTACTGATACAGTTTGCTACAGTGTTCCAAATTCTTCAATGCTTTGGTAATTACTAATACAGTTTGCTACAATGTCCAAATTCTACAGTGCTTTGGTAATTACTGATACAGTTTGCTACAATGTTTCAAATTCTTCAATGCTTTGGTAATTATTTATCAGTCATTCTTTGCTAGTGGTGCACTGCAGGGGGGCCATAACAAGAATGTTATNCATATGTGACCTGACATAATCACGTAACATCATTTCATAGTACTTATTTGTATACATAAGCCCAGAATCTGAGAATAAATGTTTTGTTGCAGTTAGACACATACTGTTGTTTTGTCTCTTGATATAATTATCAGAGGCTGGTGGATTGAACTCACAAAATCAGGCATTGTCTTACAACTATCACAGAAGTTAACTTATGAAAAAATGTCTTATTGACACTGTATCTCCCATAGAGTCCATTTATTTTTGCTGAAACCTAGTAAATCCCCTCAAACTTTTAATAGTACCTGTTACGGTCCACCTCTATTTCTATCATGATTCAATATTTTCCTCAAAGTGTCCATTGGTGCATGATCATGTCTGTACATTTGACATCTCTGCTGCCTAATTTAAAGTTCTGTGCAATTTAAGCTGAGAAAATTGTGATCAGCTGCTTGGATTGCTGACATCTTTGACATACATTGTCTTCAGTTTTTCTGCAATCAGTCCCTTCACAACCCTGTGAGCTGGCTGGTGCTGGAAGGCGAGTGTGGCATCCTTCCCAGCATGCTTCAATATGATGTCACCTCCTGGATGCTGGGACACGTAGCCACTGATGTCGTACATCTAACATACAAAAAAGGGGAAAAACATGTTGAAATTGAAACATCATTCTTAAAACGGCCCAACATCTTGCTCTCACAGCTACTTTCTTGATATATCTGATAATTAAGCCAATCTTGGGAAAAAAATGCGTGCACCTTATTATCAATAATTATCCATGGCGGATTGTCACCAGAGCTGCATGAAATGTGCATTATCCCCGACTCTGTCGTCATGTTTTTCCAGGTTACCTTGGTGTTGTTTCTTTTATAGTTGCAGTGCTTCAGAGGCATGTAACCTTAAATAAGAGAGCATAGAAGAAAACTGAAAAGTCATGTTATTTTTATATATTTTCTCTCTTTTTTTGTATTATTAATTCAGAGAGAGAGAGAGGAATTGCAGGTCCAATGACACAAATAAAACAATCATTAGTGTCAGCACTGTCTTGAGTAATAAGTGAAACACAACTGCCTGCTGTGCAGTATAACTGGGGTTGTAAACCACTCTCCAAGGGAATAAAATCTATCAGTAAACATTCCAAACAAGAGAAGTGTTCCTAATATTACATAAAACATTTTGAAAACTTTCTGTTTTGGACTGAATTAATTTAATGCAAAATGATTACTCCAACGTAAATTAACCATGCACTGACAGTGACAGTCAGAATTTTCTCGTTTTATGGGGTACTGCCATACAATGGTGACCGTATCCGGTCATTCTTCTTTCCTAATTTGTCCGAATTCCCAGAACTGAGTACATCTTTTTATTATTGTCATTATTTACTCATTATTATACTGAATGAAAGCTTTAAAACCTCTAATTGGTGAGCTGAAGACAGTGAAATGTCACCCTGCAAAACGTAAGCAGACGAACTCTTTCAAGTTTAGTCGAGAGTCTGTCATTTTCATATTTTACATTGAACCTGTCCGTGATTTTACTGTAATGATCACAATGTCAGACGATGACTCATTTCTTCGCTCTTGAAATGGCCGCCTAAATGCACAATGTGAAACCAATCTTACTCAGTCTTATCTTAAGACCTAAGCTTTACATCCTCAATCAACCTGTTCCAAAACAGCTACGGAGCATGATATATTTTTACTCCATTTGATGTGCAGCAGACGCAGATTTGCGTTACCAGTGTTTATAAAAAATAAATAAAATACCACCTGATATAACATAAATGTACTAGCAAATTAAATGATCATTTTTAGCATTTTGCCCAGAAATTTCATCGAGTGCGGGATTGCAATGAGAGACTTGTGGGAGTTACCAATATGGCGGTGTAGCAAAATGCACCAGGAAAAGATTGTAAACACGATTTGAGGTCAGAAAAAAAACTAAATATGGTTTGCTGACAATAAGGATCGGCGTGTAAGTAATTTGGTCGTTTATTTTAAATGACAGGTTATTGTTATAATTTACATTTATGGTGAATGTGTAATGATGATGCATAATAATGAGTTATTATGTACGAGTAATACGCATACGACCGATGTCTAAAAAAATATCACGGGCGGTTAATATGAGTTCGCGTCCGATTGATTTTTTAATGGTATGTGCTGTATAGCAAAATCAGTCGCATAAAATCGTATGCTTTCATGAAGTACAAGAAAAAAATGCCCTTATGATTTCTACTTTCTCTACTTCTATGTTGATACCTACTTAAGCCAGGCACTCATTGAGTCACTGTGGAAAATTAATGTAACTAAGAATGATGTTTTTCTAACACACTGGAGATGTTCACTGATTCTGCATAGTAAGGTTCTGTGGTAATAATCATATAAATGGTCTATTGAACAAGATATGTTTGTTATTTGTTTTAGCAAATTAATGTGTCATATTAAAATGAGCACTACAGTGCCACACAGCACAGTTGACTAGAGAGAACAACTCCATTCACTAGTAAAAATAGGAAACGGTCATTCTCAAGAAGATAGATTGATAAAAAGTGAATATATTACTAGGTAATTAATATTGTTGATCCAACTTGACATACAAGTATGTTTGTTTATAAATCATCAGGTTGTACACCATATGGCCACTTAATATATATTTCAGATGACCCAACATAAACAAATCTTCAGACTAAATCATACCCATTTTTCAAAATTGGATCAATGATAATTACCTAGCAATATATTTTGCTTTTAAATAACCTTATTTTGATGCAAATGACAGTTTTCAGTGTTTATTTGCATCCTGATTCCTTTTATTTAGTGTATTGCACATTTTAGTATGACTAGTGATATGTGCCCGTAGTTCTCATGAATCTTCTGGTAAGAGTAGACTAGAAATGTAACAGGGTGTCCATGTTACAGTCATATGATTTTTTTTTTTTTTTTTATCAAAGCACAAGGAACGCCATTTACCCAGACAGGTTTTCCTGCAGCATTCATATCCCCAAAATTATATTTCTCCACATAATACACTGCCACACTATAACTTCTCCCTCTTTAGTTTTTAAAGTATGTATTTTTGATAAAAAATTGTATATTGTCTGTGTTTATTGATAAGACAAAAGACAACTGGCATTGATAAAACAGACATGCTGAAACTGTCGGTCCGATCAGTCATGACCAGGAAAATTTGTCTGGACCAGTAAAAAATTGGACTTGGTTGGTCCAAAGGACCGACAAGAGTTTTAAGAGCCGCAATTTTGAATTTACAGTCATTTGACATACGTCACTAATAAAATTGTATAAAACCCAGTGTTTTTTCCCTTCCATTTCAAACCTATCACATTCACAAACAAAGTAAGCTACCCTAATCGTACTGGTAGTATCTGTCTCAAATGAATAGTGATTTTTGGTCTGACAAAAAACCTTTCGGACCGGCACATTTTTCATTACTGCCGGTCCAAATGTTCGGCCATTCCGAAAAGTTTTCAGCATGTCTGATAAAACCAATAATAAGTGAAAGTTAACCACATTAAGAAATCACAAGCAAGTTACCTCAAGGGCAGTAGAATGGACATATTTCTTTCCCACAAATTTGCTTATAACTCATATGTTGAATGTACAGGTATTTTCAAAGTCTTTATTTTTTACACAGCTAATGTGAAGTAGCCTTGGTGTATTTGTTTTAATCAACAGCTAACCAGCCACCACTGGTGAAAATTGGATGTTGAAAAAAACTGCAAGGTAGCTTGTTAGTAACATGCAGTATTATAGATAACAGTAGCTTAGACTTTAAAAGTAAAAGTTTTCTCATAGCTTTGTCTTTAAAATGAAAATATCATTTATATTTTGACTGATTTGCCCTTGTTTTGTGTCTGGGATGTGCCTGAATGTAACTTAGACCCCATTTCCAGAGATTAGATCGATCTACTTTAGATCGACCTAACTCCCTGGGGGTTCACGCTAAATAGCTGTCAGCCGAGCGGACACGAAAGTTAATTACCCCCTTACAGCTTGTAGTAGGCGGGACGGACATTTAAGCTGGATTATCTGACAGTAATCTAGTGAGACTCCCTGCGGGGATAGATCGATCTAAAAGCTCTGGGAATACAGCCTTATTAAATTTATAGTATATACAGCATGCTCTCATGTCAGTTTTCTCATGTTCAAAGAGCACCTGTTACTTAAAAGCTGTATTTTAATTACGCAGCTCTTCAAATATTGAATTATTAAAGTAATTCAATATTTGAAGAGCTGTGTATTTAAGCAGGCTAGTCAAGTTAATATCAAAGCCCAATGTTTATGAGCCCTTTTGAGTGTTACACTTCAATTAAACTTAAGTATTATATTTCTCAAATTTTGATTGGTCTACTAGTGTTTTTTTGTTTTTACATTTCATATTGAATGCAAAATAGGGATTTTTGAGCATTATAAAGAATGCTTTTATTGAACATATACTTATTTAAATTATTCAGAAGACGTCAGACTTTTAATCAGTCAGTGTTAACTTGAGATAAGATATTGTATTTTTTTTTCCAGATATACTCTTGGAGTTGGCCTTTTCCAAGCAGCATGTCATCTAACTTCATCCCCATGCTTTCGTCAAGTCCTCCTCCTTTGGATGAGATCCAGTCATTTGACGATGGCTGGGGAACAGAGGATGGAGATGATGAATTTGGAGGCTTTGCCAGTGCTGAGACAAGCCCTTCAAAGCAGGGACCATTTGGTGATGAGTTTGGGGGCTTTGCAAGTGTAGAAAAAGGTCCAACAAATCAACCATCTCTTGAAAAATCCAGTAGTGATGATTTTTCCTCAAGCTCAACATCATTAAATAAAGCACCAAACCATACTGAGTTCTGTGGGAATTCCACTCATGACGACCCAGGTGATTGGCAAAATTTTGCAGACTTTACCTCTTTTCCGTCTTCATCAGACCCTATCAGTTGTGATGACTGGGTGACAGAAGAGAGAAGTCCCCACTCTAATAACGAGGAATCGGGTGAAAGTGACTGCAGAGAAGATGCTGCTCCTAACTGTACCTCAGATATGCGTCGGAGCAGCAGTAGTGTTCAGGATGATTTCAGTCGTTCCACAGTTGACTCAGGAGTGGAGGTGAAAATCAACGCTCAGAACAAGATGGTCAATGGTAACACAGCAGGACAAGATGGCATCCATATGGTTGTCAGCCCAGTAAGCACTGACGATATTTCATGGGGAGATGATGGATTTAGTGAGTTTACTTCAGGGTCAGTCATTGAAACAAATGAAGAAATTCAGCTGGCAGAAAATGATATGAATGATGATAGTGAACCTAAGTCTGAAATATCAGAACTTAATAATCAAATTATCGAGAATGCAATTCCAAATTCCTCGGCGTCTCTTCCAGGAAAAGCATTTTCCAGCTCTTCTTGCAGTGACGAAGATGATACCTTAGCTGATGATAAATGTGAGAAAATGAGGACTTCAGAAAACATTTCCCCTACAGAAAATTCAGTAATTCCATCAGATTCAGCCAACCACTGTGTTCAATTGCCATGCAGTTCACAGGGAAACGAGAATAACAATATGTCAGCTACTCCACAGTATTTTGATGATACAAACCAAAGTGAATTGGAGCAGGAAGCATCCCAGGATAATGTTGGCATTAAGAGGACCTCAGACACTGGTGACGGTATGATCATGTCAGGTATGCAATACGATAGTTCTGATAAACATACATTGGCAATGGAAGAGCCAAGTGCAACAGTGTCAGATAATGAAATCTTACCTGGTTCTGGAGATGTCAGTTCAGAAAAGTCAGACAACAAAGAGGAAGACTGGCTTGAAGCAGAAATCCAGAATGAGCAGAATTTAACTTTGCAGGATAACAGTACAGGGGAGAGCAAAGATGCAACAAATAAGAATCTTTCTGAGGATTTGTCTTTTAACAGTTTTGACAATAATGATGCCTCGTTTGCAGCTTTCCAGTCAACAGAGGGTGCTAGTGATGGGGCATGGGCAGCGTTTGAAGACACTGAAGTATCAGGCCAAGATGGCGGTTGGGCAACATTCCAGGATGCCGCACCAGATGGTGCTGTGTCAGCAGCGGACTTTGGAGACTTTACTGCTTCAGATGATGTTGATGACTTTGGGGATTTCAACAAAAATAACCAGGAGGATGGGGGTGATGATTTTGGCAAATTTAGTGTGAAAGAGGACAATGGGGAGGGGGATGATGACTTTGGGGACTTTGGCAATTTTAGCACCATAAAAGAAGATGACTTAAATTTATCAAAGGATAGTGAGAATGACTTTGGGCAGTTTCAGGAGGATGGCAATGATGACTTTGGTGATTTCAATATGGGTCAAGATGCAGATGACTTTGAAAATTTTGACGATGCTGGGAGTGGGAATGGTTTTGGTGCTTTTGATTCTCATGAGCCTCAGCAGAATGTGTCTCTTTCCAAGGTAAAGTATGCTCTACTCTGTGCATATTGCTAGAGTGCCATTGAAAATTAAGAAATTGAGATGAAAATAAAATGAAACTTAAAATAACAGTATTTGTTTTATTTAATATCTTTGTACAAAGACTAATAAGTATATATTTTAGTGGCATTGTCTTCAAAATCGCTATTGATTTCTTGTATCCTTGAAATCATATGAAAAAATCTATTTTGTCATATCAGACCTCCAATGCCAGTCCTGTGTTCAATCTGCTATCTAAATGTTTTATGTCATATTTCAGACCTCCAATGCCAGCCCTGTGTTCAATCTGTTATCTAAATGTTTTCCCCAAACAGCAAAGGAGGACGCCTCTTTTTCCTTCAGCAAACTCCTTGATGTCATATCCACCCAGACAGGAATACAGATGGAGAAACTCTCAGCCAATCAGGGGTATGCATAGACTTTGCAGCAATGTTGTATGGAGAATTACTTACCTGAGAAATAATTGATAAGTTATCATTTATGTTTATTTGTGTGATTTTTTAAAAATATTTTGTCTTCTTATACCCTTCAATAAGCCACTAGGATAGGTTGTGTAACTTCTACATCATTTGACTAAAATTTCTTTATATTTATTTAATGAATTTTATTTTCCCACTTCAGGAAGAGCTGTCTGAATGTATGGTCTGGTCTCCATGATACAGAGAATACTGAAGCTCTCACATACCAGTGGTCCAAGTCTGTGTCCAATGACAAATTGCTCAAAGCTCTCAACATTGATACAAGGAACATTGTAAGTTTTCGTGTGTTTTATGAAAAGTTTTGTAATCATGAGAAAGTCTGCTGTGAAAGGGGTTGACCAAAAAAATAAAATTAAAAAGTAAAAGTCCAGATTGGTTGCCGGGTATGGACAGACATGTGTTGTCTATAATTCTGTGCTTCCATTTTTTAAATAAGAAAATGACATTCAAAATTGACTCTGCTTTCATTACTATGGCATGTGCATTATGCATGACTGCGTTACTTAGCCCATTATTTCACTCTATGATAAAATACAATTGGAGTAATTTATTAATTGGATTTTTGTTCAGTATTTGTTATGTGTCAGAAGTCCTAAATGTTGAGTGTTCTTCTAGCTGATGGGCCACAAAAAGCAGTCCATGCCCATCTTTGCCTCTCACCTTGGTCTTCTGGAGCCCAGCAAGGGCCCCTTACAGCCCAAGAAAATCCCCCAGCCAGTGAGCCCCCTGGTGGACACAGTGTCCAGTGTACAGCAGTCTGCCCTCACACCACAGGTACGTCTACTTCAACAGAAGATTGGAGAGTCTTTAGGGATACTACAGTTGATACAGTGATGAGAGTTTGTTTTGGCTGGTACAGTTTTCAGTTTGCAGCAATGTTCCAAATTCTTCAATGCTTTGGTAATTACTGATACAGTTTGCTACAATGTTCCAAATTCTTCAATGCTGTGGTAATTACTGATACAGTTTGCTACAATGTTCAATATTCCCTGAATAGTAGCTGGACTGAATGTCTGCTGGGTGGGAAAACTTCTTGGCCCATTCTGAAAGTTGCCGACCCGGGCAGATGGTCCAATGTTAATTTCAAACACTGGCTGTGCTAATTACTGAAACAATTTGCAACATTGTTCTAAATTCTTGGCGCTGTTGTTTTTACTCTGTAGATTTGAACAACATTGACTGATCAAATTTCAGTGTTTTCTGGGTAGTTCCTGAAATAAGTAAATTAAAAAAAATTAGTTTTTGTTCATGTTTGAATTGAGGTTTTTGTAACTGAAACTCTAAACTATGAAATATTAAGTGTTTGTAAAGTTCTAGAAAGAAACTTTTCAGTGTGTGTGCATTTCTGATAATGTTGATCCTTGGTTTGCTTTTTCCTGGATATATTTGATATGAATAATTTAAACATCATTGGGGATGTATGAGTTTAAGGTATTGGTATTTTATGGCCAGCATTTGGATGGACTCAAACTGTGTTTTAGCATGTTGGTAGTTCTATAATTTATTGTTGCTAGGAGACTGTCCCCCCAGCAGAGTTTGATTGGAGCACAAGTGGACTACAGAACCCTTTGGATTGTAAGTAATCTCCATGAAATTTTTCTCTTTACCTTACATAACAGTATCCTTAGGAATTCCTTCCTCTGTCTTATCACATGTTTACTTACTCATGACAGCGAATGTTTTGATGTATTGAAAGCTCTGTTCTAAGTTCCATTTTTGAAAAGGTTGAAAAATACAGTAGATAAATTATCAAGAGGAAATACTCAGCATTTGTGATTCAAGTTTTTTATACTTCTTCCCTAAAACCCAATATCTTATGTTTGTGTCAATACAAAGTATCACCTGATCAGACTTTTGTGATAAAACTGCTGTACATGAGATTTTTTGTAGACGGTTGGGTCTTAAGTGTGCCATAGTAAGATAAAACTGCCAATTGTCTAAAACAAAAGTATTAAACTAATCCAAAGAATGGCATATTTATCATATGTTTAAATGTTTTAACATGACATAATTAAGTTGTGTATGGTGTTAAACAATGGAAAATTTATATCATCACAAAACATGAGCTTTATCTTCAAATTTTACGTACAAGTGATATCGTTGGTGTCAGCATTTAAATAGATTAATTTTTGGAGTATTTCCAAAATGCAGCTATTTACGTTCTTTTCTACCTTTGTTTAACTGCATACCTTTACCCCATTATCAATTGTAGTAGCAGAGATAACTGGACAAAAATATGCAATTAAAATTTTTCCCTGCCAGGGAATTTTTTGGCATCCATAAATTCTTTTATACTCACCCGTCATAATTCCTAATAGAAAAATACCCTGCAAATATTATTGAACTTCAACTGAGTGGTAGAATTTGTGTTAATGTTTGTATTGATTTTACAAATATTTTGTTGATAAGATGAATGAAAAGTTCAAGATTAATCAAACATGATGTATTTATTGATATATGCAGTCATTAATATACCACAACTTGCCCTGGAATAAATTTTTAAAAATGTAAATAAATAAATAAACAATGTATCTATTGATATTGCAGACATTAAAATAGCTTAACTTGACCCTGATAAATAAATTAATAGATATATGATGTATTTATGAATATTGCAGCCACTAATGCAGCACAACTTGACCTAGATTTCTTTGGCAAAAGTTCTACTGGAAAAAGTGGTAAGTCTTTTTAAAATGTTTTATAATATCACTGTTGTATTTGCCAAAATCTCTATGAAGGACTTCCTCATTGAGGGTTTTTTTTTTTTTTTCAAAATTCCCAACAGTACTGCTGATTTCATTCTGTGTAGTGATGTCATATTTTGGTGAATCTTTGACTTTCTGGGGGATTTTATTCCGTTAATATATATCAGGCTTTTAATAACAGTTAAGTTTTAGAGTGTATTCACAATGAATTTATCATACTAGCTAGAGCCCACTTACTCCACAGGGGACTCTAGCTGAATGCAACCAGATTAACAGATTAACACGCCTCCTGGCATTGCATTGGTGATTATAAAAGAACATAGGAAACAAGAGGAAGTGTGTTAATTGCACTAACTAGTACATTACATTCATTGTGATTGCACTCTAACTGAAACTCCCAATTTTTATTCATTTTTGTTTCTGTATCACTTTTGAAGAAGCTTGTCTTCAATTACGGTTGTTTGAGAGAGAAAGAAAGAGAGAGAGAGAAAGGTATACAACTTTGTAAAAAAGGTAGTGGGTGCAAAACATCCAGAGAATGATAAAACTATTTTCAAATTGTGAGTGTACCACTTTTATTTTCTTTAGCAGACAATTACAGTTTTCAGAATCTAATTTGAATAACATTTTATGGCAGTGTGGAATGTTTCAATCAAATGTAATATTTGTTGTGCAGTTACCTCCATGCCAACTTTTTGTTAACTCTGAAAAAAATGCTATGATATGTAATAGTTACAACTCTGGTATTCATAATGTATTTATAGTTAGTGACACTATTTTAAATGATGGGTAGTTGGGTGTCATCAAAGGAGAATTCTCACAAAAAGATGACAAGAACTAACAGCAAACAGAGCTGGCAAGGTTTTATTAACCAAAATTATGAACCAAATTTATTGACCAAAAATGTAAAGTCACTGTTATAGAAGCAAAATTTTCATGTATTGTACATGTTGGCATTGTTGACTCATTGGTAATACTGCAATTACTGCAAATTAATAACATGGGCTCAATGCTTGACATAAATTACATAATGTATTATTAGATCTGTTAAGACAAAGGATGTCTTAAAAACAGAAAATATACTAAAATGCACCTTCTGAATTATTTCATCAAAAAGATGAGTGAAGAATATAGTTAAATGGAACACAACTCAAGTGATGCACATACGTTTAAATCAAGTTGAGTCATTTTACAGAAAAAATTACCATTTGAGTCATGGTAGTGACATAAATTTTGAGTAATACTTGCATGATTTTGACTTGCCCCATTATTTTTACTGTGTTATCCTCAAGTACTCTTTAGTTGGAAAAAAAAAATCAACAGTAATAATAAAAATGCAATAAAAAATGTCATGCAGATATATGTAACTGTCTTGTGAAGGAGACCAGCGACACAAGAGCACTTTTTTAAAAGTTATGTCTTTACCAAACAGACTAAAACTGAGATCAATTTACTTGTTTTGATTGAAATTTTTTAAAATCTTGTTGCCAACAAGAATTATCTCGGAATTTGTTCTCCAAATTATATTGTTATCAGCACCCTGAAGTCAACAATACCTGGTTTATAGTTGTACATACCACACATTGATAAGACAAGGAAGTGGTAGAGTTTTTCATGTTCAGATAAGCCAANGTCTTAAAAACGGAAAATATGCTAAAATGCACCTTCTGAATTATTTCATCAAAAAGATGAGTGAAGAATATAGTTAAATGGAACACAACTCAAGTGATGTACATACATTTAAATCAAGTTGAGTCATTTTACAGAAAAAATTACCATTTGAGTCATGGTAGTGACATAAATTTTGAGTAATACTTGCATGATTTTGACTTGCCCCATTATTTTTACTGTGTTATCCTCAAGTACTCTTTAGTTGGAAAAAAATCAACAGTAATAATAAAAATGCAATAAAAAACTCTCATGCAGATATATGTAACTGTCTTGTGACACAATAGCACTTTTTTAAAGTTATGTCTTTACCAAACAGACTAAAACTGAGATCAATTTACTTGTTTTGATTGAAATTTTTAAAAATCTTACTGCCAACAAGAATTATCTTGGAATTTGTTCTCCAAATTATATTGTTATCATCACCCTAAAGTCAACAATGCCTGGTTTATAGTTGTACATACCACACATTGATAAGACAAGGAAGTGTTAGAGTTTTTCATGTTCAGATAAGCTATCTTGCCAAGGTGTAGAGATGTGTGTGTGTGTGTGTGTGGGGGGGGGGGGGGGTCTGAGTGCAGTTAAAGCTATAAAGTGCAGTCATAATTTTCATAAAAAAGGAAGCTGTAACACACAGAAGTCAAGATTACAACTAGCTGTAACACACAGAAGTCAAGATTACAACTATCTGTCTATAAATTGAAGCAAACCTGTTGTTACTGGTTTTCTGATTTTATATATATATTTATATATTCCACTTTTTGATTACTTTCAGTGATGTTTATTTGTTCGCATGAACATATGTGTCTCAAGTGCAATTTATATCATTTTTTTCTAACATTAATTAGTATGATGGCAGTTTTATTCAGTTTTTACTTGTATCTTTATTGCTATCAGAGGAGTTTGACATTTTATCTGGTAAGTTTGGTTGTTGTATTATTTCTATGTGTTAGACAGAAGGCTGAACTCAAATATGTATGCATCTACATGTGTGGAGAAAATTATTGATCAGTTTCTAGCAAGTTTCCTGATGTTGTTGTTGTTTAATTAAAGGCAGCTCCAGAATTTTCAGGTGGCCCTCTGAGATTTTTCTAATAAATAGGAAAGAAGCTTTCATGACCTTGACCTTGAACTTGACCATTGGAAAGATCTAGCATATCTATTATTGGTCAATACTAATCCTCACAATTCTGTAAATATTTTCATGTGATGTAGCAAATCATTTTAGTGGGAAAAGTGAGATTGTCAAGTAATCTAGACAATTGGAAAGATCTAGCATATCTGTTATTGGTCAGTACTAATCCTCACAATTCTGTAAATATTTTCATGTGATGTAGCAAATCATTTTAGTGGGAAAAGTGAGATTGTCACGTAATCTAGACAATTGGAAAGATCTAGCATATCTGTTATTGGTCAATACTAATCCTCACAATTCTGTAAATATTTTCTTGTCAAGTAGCAAATCATTTTAAGAGGGAAATGTCGGTTTGTCACGAAACCCAGACAATTGGAAAGATCTAGCATATCTGTTATTGATCAATACTAATCCTCTGTAAATATTTTTAATGTCATGTAGCAAATCATATTTAGAGGGGAAAGTGGGATTGTTACGTAATTAAGAATATGATGAAATAATTGCCACTTCTTTATGTGCTGGGCATGTATCACTTTCATTTTTACTGAAGAAAGTTATGCATGCTTCTATATATTACTTTGCTGTTATTGTCGTGTTGCATTTTTTTCACCTGTGTTGTTGCCAGGAGTTCCCTAAGCCACAGATAGACATATTGATATAACTGGACGACCACATTACCTGACATAATATCAAATCATTACCTGACATGATATCAAATCTATACAGGGAATGGTCTGCTGGGAGTTTGGATTTGTGCTTTTCTTGTTGGTTTCTTCTTTGATCTTCTTTTCATCTGTTACAATGGCTCCACTTTTCAGAAAATTGTGCAGAAAATTTAGTTGTTAAAATAAATCTTTATGGGGCTGGTAAAAAATCTGTTTTCCATTCTTCATATGTATATATGAATGGATCTAAATGAGGCTAAATTTTATTAATTTTTTTTTTTTTTTCAGCCCTGGAATCAGAGTTTCTTGGAGGATCAGATGTGGCCAAGCCTGAGCCAATCAAATCAATACCGCCACTGGAAAATGTCCTGGCTACCATGCACTTCACACCAACCAGCGGAGCTCAGAAAAAGAAGAACCAACACTTCAGTCAGGAAGCGCAGGCAGTGATTGCCAAATTCCAAAACTTGGCCTTCATGAAAGCCAAGGTCCTCATGTTCCCTTTAAAAGGCTCTGACCCTACCCCTGATCAGTGATCTGCTGTCCAAGGAATATGTGACAATCATCATCATTATTGCTCCTCCTCTATTCTTGTTACAAATCTCTTGATTGACCAATGCCATTGCAGCCATTTATGAATGAAAAGGTTTTGTGTGAATGCCAGAACAGCTTATTGCAAAATGCCAAATTATTCCTCATATTTTTCCTGAATGTGCATGATCTCTTAACATAAGTTTCATTCAGAATTGTCTTGGTTGGTTTACTCAGACTGAGTGAGGGGGCAACTTAAAGGCATTTCAGAATGTGGTGCCTGTTATACTTCTCGAATTTAGGGAATTTACTGTGTGCAAAGTAATCTTTTGATTCTTGTAGTAACAAAGGTAAAATACAAGATAGACCATTCTATGTCCATGCTAGCTTATAAGTTTTCACTTAATGCTGTAAATTGTTGATAAAGGGTAAAAAAAACCCTATATGACTGAGTAACAGAAGTCTAGGACTGACCCCACGTATTTCTTTACTAATATACTGTTTTTTTGTTTTTTTTTTCAAACAGTTTGCTACTTATAACATTGTTTATCAGGCTATAGAAATAAGGAAAGGTAGCAACATAAAGCTAGAACTGTGGTACTTGTTGAGGTCAACTCTAGACATCTAGCTCTAATTTGTTAATAGCAGGCGCCCTGAGTTTCAGAATATATTTGAATGATGTCTCTAACACTAGAACCTGCACATTGTTATTTCAATATAAAAAATATCTACTGGTAGTGGTGATAGAAGCCAGTTTCCATGAAACTTTGAGTCTGTTAACATTGTGATACTGGGTGCCTGGCCTGTATGTAGGTGAGAATTACAAATAACATAAGAAACAGAAACCACTTTAAACTTGCCATTATTTATTTTTATGAAGAATTTAACGGAATTCCAAGTTTCATCAAAGTCATTTAAGTCAAGCTTTTGTATGAAATTGTTTTATTTACTTTACAAGTAAGCTACTGGAAACGTAAATATTGAAGGCATTTGATTTTAATCATAGAATATATTAAATTTGTTATAATAATATTATAATAGTAATATATTAAAATTATTATAATAACAACTCGAGGCTATCATTCCTTATCCCAGTTGGTATTCAAGTAAAAAAATATATTGTTTTGTGATTGAATTGGTATTTTATTGATTAAAAAAATAAACAAATGGCATCACTAATTTAAATTAGAAACAACCTAAATGTAGTAAAACAAATGTTTGGTTATCATTTTGCTGCAGATATTCATTTCTTTAAAGGTGCCATATACATGAAGTAGCAATAGAATTGACTTGTATAATATATGTGTTATTATCAGAGAATTTGCAAAAGTTACTTCATTTGTGAATTTTTTGAATGCATATTTGATGCCATGAAGGGAGAATATTTTTATTGGAGTAAATGAGTTTTGCAAATTGATACCCAATGTGTAACAACTATGTTTAAATATTAAAACTATGAAAATTATTTCAAAATCAAAATTCAAGATTCTATACAGGGGTTCCATCAGTTCTTTAATATATATGGTGATGAATTGCATTTGGAAATATTCAAAAATAACATAGAAAATAGATTTGGATACATCATTTTGAATTACCAAATACAAGAAAAGTAATACATATTGGGTAATAATGAAATTCTATTGGAACAGTGTAAAACCATATCTTGGGGTAATTCTGAAATGAAACTTGGTATTTTCGTCTGCTCTTGAGTGTTTACAAATATTAATTTCAAGTTCTATGTCCTTTTGTGTGTAATAAAACACTTGTCATTAAACAACGTGCATTATGTGCCAGTAAAAGTATTGAAATTTCTTCATGAAAGACATTAAGGGTTACAAGGAGCATCTTTGGCAAGCTCAGGAGATCAGTACTTATGTTTCCATTTTTTTTTTTCAAAGATAATACAATTTATGACCAGGCTACTGTAACATAATGTAATTTATAAAAACTGAGGCTATAAAACTCGATTATATGATTTTCCTGGACAGGAACACTTGCTTGTTTTACTGTCTGTGACATAGTCTAGAATTGTTCTTTGTAAAGAAAAACTTTCATTGTTTTTCTCCCCTTCACAATACTGGCCACTTGCCAAGTTTCCTTCCAGTTATCAAAACAGGATTTAGATGTTAACGACGCCATGTGGTTGTAGCTGTGTCAGTAGGTAGTGTTGTCTAAAATATACCAGTTCATTAGCTAACAACACTGTTTTAATAGAACACCAATCCAAGGAGAATTTTTCGGTACTCACAAGGTAGAGAAATATTGCAACAGATAGAAAAACTTTCTCTATTTAATAATATATTCTTATAAAAGTAATATTTGCTCTTTACTAGATATAGTATTGTTCCTTGTGGTCTGTTAATATATGTATGACTGATGTGATGATATGTGCAATATAACCTATTAAGACAGTGCTAAACATGAGGTAATGAAGTCAATCCATTCCAAAATATTGGTTTTATGTTAAAAAGAGGGTGCGCTGGGTGAGAGAAGTAGTTTGTGTTGTTACGTGGACCGCATCAGTTGTCAACTGTTGTTCTTTGGGGTTGTATTTTTGATGTTAGGTGAAGACTGTAAATAATTAAACAGTTGCAATAAAATGATTGCTCGAAAGAAATAAAATTTTGTAAGTGTGTACATAATTATAATTATAAAAGCATTTCTTTTTGGTTCACCCTGCAACAGATAAATACCATTTCCGTTTTATATGAAATAATTATTAAGTTGGAGCAATAATTGCTGAACTATTTGAAGATTTTAAAACTTTTAACCTCAACGTGTGGAGAGGAATAACAACCAGAAGTCTACAACAACTTCAGTCAGTTTACTGGTGTGGAGCACAGTTCTTTACAAACAACTCTCCATAACATACAAAGCTTTTTGTTTGTTTATACTGGGTGGCCTTTATTTACTATTTTGTTCATGGGCAAAAAAAACAAAAATTCAGCAAGTATGTTTGAATGAAAATTTATTTGAATGAATTTTAAACTTATAAATACAATAAATTATTAAATTATTTGACTCTATCTAACATGTTCAACTGTCTTTTAATAACACTGAAGCTTTGCACATATGCTAAAAATGTATTGCATATTTGTTTGTAGTAAATGTATTTCCTATACATGATAAAATTATTTTCTCTTATTTACAATAAACACTGAAGACAGGCTTGCAGCAGTGCTCAAGTACAGTTAACTTGACAATACCTTTTTCACATATGTAAGACAAGAAAGAAAACTGGGAAATTACAAGAAAAGAGCTTTTTCAAACAACTGGAAATTCAGAAAGAACGTTCAGAGTACAGGCACCAAATTTGTCTGAATTTCAAATGTGTGCCATCACTGGCTATTAAAGACTAAAAGATCAACGCAAGCACTACATAGAAGGTACACAGCACCTAAGAATGCAGCAACTTGGTAATAATTAGGAACATTGAACTGAATTCTAGAACAATGGAAGGAAATACATTCCTCTAAACCCATTTTAATTTTCATGAGTCACACATCTTGTACTTCTTACCTTACGTCATTTTGTCTTTCTTCAGTAAAGTTAAGAAAATGAAGATATTAAAACCAAAAAGGTCTCAAAGCTACACTTCATCATAAAAACTTAAAATTAGAAAGTTATCAACTTTGATAACCTTTTTTACAAAATGTTGATATAGAAATCTGAGTAAAAAATATCAATATTATACCTGATAAAAACATATGTTGCTCTTAAAGCTACCCCATCAACAGGCCTACTCAACTTTTCTATGCAGAAATCTGGTGATGTATCTGCACCTCTTTTGTCTTTATTACGAATACTGGTGAAATACTGGAGAAGCAACTAATTAAGCATGCTTCAAACATGGCAAAATTACTAAAACTAAAAGAAGCTTATGATATACAAAAATGTACAACTAATTCAAATATATTTATATAAACTTAAATAAATAACATAAATATCATAAGTACAAACATGGTCTGCACAGCTCAGTTCTTTCAACCTAATTAGAAGGGAAGTGTCTCTGCTCAAGTCTGTTTGGTGTGGTTTCATAGGAATGGACATATATTACTTTCCATCACACAAGAAAGCTAATTACAGTACACTACTGTCCTAAAACAGAACCTTGACATATGTTTAACAAATGAAGAATAGAATGGCTCACAGTAATCTTAAAAAGCCTGGGAAATTGAATCACAACTTTGCTGCCAAGTTACCTTGGTTCTTGTAAAATGTGGGCTGGCAAAAAAAATTCTGGTAAGAAATAACATCAAAAACATCACAATAACAGTCACAAGGATGATATCAGACCATCAAATTCAATCTCAACCATCACATACTGGGGGTTCTCAACATCAAGCATGTATTGCACCAATACTGGAATCACATCTTCTAAACTACGTTTCATGTGATGTTGGCAGAGTACTTCACTGTGAGATGGATGTCTGCTGTGCAGGTATATCTGCATATTTTTATTCTACCACAAGAGGAATATGTTAGACAGGCTTTAAAGACATCCAGGGTCGCCTACTACATATGATTTGGCAAGCCATCTCCATATTTAACAACCATTTCCTGATGTAAGGTGTTTTTCAATTTAATTTGTGAATAGTATGATATGAGAAGCACTATATCTGTCCATTCTGGCAACCATGAACAGAAACATGTAGCTCTCTAGTATAAGGTGGCAGGAGATAATTAATGCCATAAAATTCAGTCTCAACATTTCATGCAAGTGGATTCATTTCAGGATGGAAATTTGAGATAGGACTTTTTTATGTGAATCTTTACCCCATCCAGGTGGTGTAAGGCAGTACCAGCTCTCGAGACTTGACACCTATAGCACTTTCTTCTTTGTGTTACATAATGTAGGACATCTTTCATATTAGAAAATGGACATGTAAACATAACAGATGAGTTGAAAATCCCTGCAAAAATTCTCTCAGTAAGCAGGCAACAGAGTTAATTAATAGCATACTAGTCTTCTACAGCCAGTGATATTGAGCATTTTGCCACAGGCCCTCCATACATCTCCATCTGGTTGCCCTGACCTCTACAGCTGATGGTCATTAGTAATCTGCAACCTGTAGCAGTAGTGTGAGGCTATATATACTGTGTACTGGGCTAGAGAACAAGCACCTGCCTTGACCTGTTATGTAACAACTGGGCTTCACCTGACATATGCCACTACTGCACAGCTCCACTGAGACACCACTGAAATTATTTCACAATCTAAAATACTGCACAGTTCCACTAAGACACCACTGAAATCATTTCACATTCTACTAAGTTTGACTCAAGTTGCGGCAGGAAATTGAGATGTGTCACTTAAAAACCAGCCGAAACTTGTTTCCTTAAGTGACAAAACTTTTTGACTCCATTGCTCAAATAAAAGTTTCTTGTAAATTTCAGTAAAACTTTGGCTCATACAACCACCTCACACAACTGTCATGTGTTGCCATTTATTACCAAGCCAGCAACATCAGTGCACACTAACCCTATATGCTCTAGAGTGAAAAATGGGTTTCACCTAACTTAATAAATGGTTCCTCACCTTGCAGTGGTAGAAGTCGTCTAGTTGTATCACTGTGTATGTTAAGTACAAAATTATTGACCTCTTCATAAATAAGATCTACATCTTCATATATAAATATAAGATGCAGTTGCAACTGTTGCATAGAATATCAACAGATTAATTTCTGGAGGTGATGGCCTTCTTAATAGTTTTCATCAATGACAATAAATAATATGAGTACGACCAGATCAACTTTAAAACACCATGATTGATATAAAAAAGATAAAACCTAAGACCCACAGTTATTTTATATGACATTTTGTATAAAAATAACAAATATCATTTTCTTTAAACAACACTAAGTAGAGACAATAGTCTTAAATGACAATCTCAAGTTGCTGATTTGTATTACAGTATTATTTGACACTATTCCTCCACTCTCTATTTCAGTCAGCTGGCCTGCCTGCCTGCCTGCCTGCCTATTCATTATGCAGACGTTCACTGTTCCTTCCTCCCCACGCTCCAGTGATTTATTACACCTTGTTCTCATTGGGAACAAAGCTGACTATGACCTTCACCTGATCATGTGATAACAGCATGAATATCTTTAAAATCGTCTCACTTGAAAGTATATACCATTTCTCCCACCTTTTGTTTTTATTTTCTTGAATCAAAGCATTTGGAAAGCTGTTAAAAGTAGCTTTAGGAAAGCACCATGTTTAAACTCAATTGTTGGTCCTGATCTTTCTCTCTTTTTTAATGGATTTTACAAAAATTTTAGAGTGATCTATGCATGCTTATCCTCTAAAAGTTCCCATTCCATCAGAGCTGAACTGCATTCTTACTAAATTAATATAAACACTGGTTTACTCCTTTTTCCCCACTGTATGTGAACATAAACATATATAAAGTCCATGGCATGAAGGAGACCACTTTGGAAAAAAGAGATCCGCCAAACCAGGTGTCTGTATCAACAGAATACATTGAAACAACACTGTTATGTACTAGTCTAGAGAAATACCAGCTAGAGAACAGTATGGGGGTATTCCCTAAATAAACCAGCATAAACAGTGACTTGAATCATTCATACAGAAACCAGCATACCTGTGAACTCATTCATATATATTTAATTGATACAATAATCTCTCTGCATACCAACATCATCATACCTGTAGGAATTTCTGTAATTTCACACTATCAGCAAATGAGTTAAGTTTTTAGCTGGCTAGGTTATATGTTCCAGTTTAGCTCTGTGTAAATGACCAAATGTTATAGCTAAATGAGAGATGCCATGGATACACATGATACAAGTCTATACCTGGAATTATTGAGATCACCTCTGGGAATCCCACTTCAGACATCAATATTATTATTATTATTATATCAACAGATTAAATACTGAGATCTCTTTCTCCGTCTTTTGCACCACAACAGCAAATGGTCAACATATTTGGAATTCTTCGTACCTCAGCACCAAAACACTTGATCATAATCTTAATCAATAAATAATATAATAAAATACTTTTACATTATACAGAAACTGTAGAATTCAGAATCAGCTTTATAGCAGTACATTGTGTCTTGCAGTTCTAAGTCAGAGTGGCAGCCTACATTCCCACTAATACTTGCATTATATTTTCCAGTTCATCATTCCATAAGAGGTCATTTCTGCAACTGTCCACTCCGCAGGAACTTGGTAACAAGACGTCCATATTAGAAAATGTCCTTGCCAGGTCATCCGTCGTGATGGGGGTCACGGGGAGTTTTACATTAGGCGAAGCAGGCGATAGAAGATCAAAGTCACAGCCTGCCATATCAATATCACCTAGAGGATCATCAACTTTGCTAGGACTAGTCCAACATGATGATAGAGAAGAGAGAATACTTGAACCTATGATGTTTTCATCCTCAAACAGTGAGTTCAGATTGAGAGACGATAACGATTCAACAGTTAAAAGTTTGTCAAGTCCATTTTCAATAGTTGATGCAATGTTTCTCTGCGGCGTCACAGCATGAGTCCCCAGTATATCTGTTGACCCAGTTACAGGAACAGAGAGAGCAATAGCTGATGTTGTTGTTAATATTAAAGGTGCTGCAGAGGAAGAATTGTCACTTGATGGTGTGGAAACTATGGCTGCTGTATCTGAGACAGCAACATTAGGAGTCTTTGGTTCTTCAATATCAGTCTTATTAACATTATTTCCTATAGAAGATAACTCCAGATGTGTCATATGGTCTTGGCAAGGAATTGGATCCAGTGCCATTTCTTCACATTGAATACTGGGGAGAATGGATGGTTTTGATGCATCATACACCTTCACCCCCTCCTGACGCAGTTCTTCCTCGATAAACTTCAACGTATTAAATATAAGCACCGACCTCCGCAGACATGGCTCGACTCTCCTCAATGAGGAGGTCCGTAACTTGCACATGGAGATATTCAAAATGGACTGACGCTGATGTGTGTAGCATTCGAGGTCGGTGTCTTCTTCGTGTTTGCGCTTAACTCTTCCCAACATTTTTTTCTTATGGTGACCAAATGGAGCTCTCCACTTACCAAGACATTAGTATCCACTTGTTAGCCTGGGAAGAAAAAGGAGACAAATTATTAATTACATGTAAAACGTACATTGTGAACCTGTGAAGAAAAGAAGACATATCTAGGGTAGCGCTAGCAATTTTTTTTTCGTTTTGCCAAATCACCACTTTTTTGTCAATTTGTTATCTAAATGGTGATAAATTTACTAAAATAAGTCAAATCAAGCACTTTTTTGTTTAGCCAATTGAAGTCAGTTTTAGCATTAGGCTAAACTGGCGAGTGTTAGCGCTACCCCAGGATATAAATAATATATAATACATACATGAGTACCATGTACAAGTCTGTTGCTAATGTACTATCAAAGTAAAATACCCTGACATTAGTATCAGGTCCCAGGGAAATTTACTGACTCTTCCCAAAAGGTAAAAGTTTGTTCTTTTCATAACACTCAAAAAAGTTTTACCTGTTGTTGTTGTGAAACAACAGTGAAAGGGGTATTCCCCATGTAACACAAATAAACTTAAAGTGATAATAACTCTTCGTTTCGGCCAAAAAATGAATTTTCCTGGAGTTAACAACAATTTTCTCATACTTACCAATGGTAAATGAATCCATTTTTACATTCAAAGATAGTCCCTGATTTTTTTACTAAAAAGTTTGTTTTTTTGTTAAAATCTCTTAAGAGATTTTAACAGAGTATATCCATCAGTGGAGGTCACGTGGTCTAAAGACAAGCTCAGATAACAGAATAATAGCTATAACTGCCGTTTTTGTGGTAAAATGGAATATATTATATTTCTATGAGTTATTCACAATGTTTTTATTGTGAATATATAGATCTCATAAGAAGAGTTATTATCCCTTTAAATTCAATAATCATTAACAAAGCAAAATATGATGCCGATCACTGAATTGTTTAAAAAAAAAATGAAAGTGAAATCAAAAATTTTGGAACAAAGCAGACAACTTCCTGATATACTTCAACAAAGAAAGACAAGGCAACTCATTCAGGACATACTAACTTTATCAGGGGTCCAGTAACCAAACAAACCCTTAGTAACCCATCGCAAAGCCATCACTGAATCAATATCAGATTTCAGTTCTGTTTTAAGACAAGTAAACCTACCAGATCATCTTTTGAGCAGAGACAAAACAGAACTACTTCTTCACCATAGCCCCATGAGTCCCGGTACTGGTGGAGTCAGATATGAATAATGCCCAGGCATGACTCATATAGGGAACACTTCCTCTCCCTCAAAAAGAAGACACGCCGCAATCACAGTCCTTCCACCAATGAAAACCCCTCCAACAACACAACTGATTTCTTATCTATCTCTTCTTTCACAAGCAAGCATGGACACCACTTCTAAAGATCTACCCGAGTTCCAGCAAAGTTCCCTTCCCCTCCATGCTTGTAGCGGCCCCTACCTGCCTGACCTGGCGTAATATTAACTTGCCTGTGCAGCTCCCTTTGTCAGGTCAGCAAAAGGAGGTCACCACCACTCACATTAACATGCTGCAGAACGCACTGAGAACACACCACCTTAGGAAACTTACTTGTCTCAATAATGATCAAAATTGACTGGAAGCAAGGAGAATTCTACTGCTTCTGATCATATCCTGCTTGTCTTTGATAAACATGTTATGAAAGGTGACTGTAAGGTCGACATCATAACACTGTAAAACTTCAAGTAAACAACTTTAAGCCTACGTAATAATGCAAATGTTATGTGTTTACAACAGAATAGCTTACTTTATATTCACTGCTATATTTTTAAAGAGTATGCATGCACTGAAGAGAATTGCTTCACTCATTAGTAAAATTAGCCTATACACTAACAACTAATTTTAATCAAATCCTCCCGCATTGTACTAGTACAATTTCAATAGACTGGAATTAAGTTTTTCCATGATAACTTCTCATTAGGACATCAAACTTAATAAGGTATCAATCAAACCAATCACACCAATTTCATACCCTAATTTCATCAATAACAAGCCTGCCTTGGTTAAATGATAATTTCTACCACTGTGCAAAGCTGATAAGTCCCAATTTAACATTTTCCACAAAGCTTGTTAAATGTTTCTCTCACTTACAAGCCGCCCTGATCCAAGTTGACATGATAACATTCTAAGTAAAAATCCTTCCAACAGCTCTACCTCAATCTTCCCTGTAGACAACTAATTCTGACAGTTTTTCTTGGAAGAGCTTATTATAGGTTAGCCCTCCAATGCTTGATACCAGTTATCTTTGATTTTCATATCAGGTTGTTTTGCTACTGTCATAAACCAGCTTCAATTTATCAAGCTTGTTCTTAGAATGGCATAACCCATGACAGAGAGCAGTGGAAGATCTTTGTTGGTGCCATACATGTCAGCCGGGGTAAAAGAAATTGATGGTGACAATTCTTAGAATGATTTTATCAGTTATAATCATACTCAAATTATACTTTCGGATGAAAAAAATCATTCAATATACAAGATTATGATATTAAGTAACATGTTTACGAAACTAAAAAAAAGTACAGGGAGAAGGTGGTCTCGTTAACATGGGCTCAGTGAAAAACATTGGATGAGCACTGAAATCAAACCAACTTCATTCCAAGTAAGATCAAACATAAAGACCAAGCTTGTCCCAAGCTGTTCAAAAAGAAAGAGAAAACAATGCAGCAGCATTTCATATGTATTTCTTCTTCTCCATATGATATCATCTTTCACATCATCTGAGATGTGAATACCTTCACATAGGGACTATTCTCAGACCCTACCACATTAACAGCAGCTCAATCTAGGTACAAGAGCCCAGTCAAAGGCCAATGGTCCTCTTCTTTCACAAATTCATATGCAGGCCTAACTTGGACCTAAAATTGACCAAATCATGTCTCTTTATAAATACTAGTGAACCAAGTTTTCTCCAGAGAGCCATATAGTTTTTAAGATAGCTGGACAGCTTAGGAAAATTTTGGGTAATGAGGGGTAGGGGACTGACTTGTTTGGGTTGGACTCCCTTTAAATTAGTGACCAAATTACAGATTCATATTTTGGACTCCCCATAACTAAAATCCTGGGTACACCACTGCTTGTGAACCACATGAATTCATATCCATGTAAAACTAAAAAGTGGAGGGTGCAGATTGGGAAATTTCACCATCTCTTCTAGCTGGGAAATTTCACCATCTCTTCTAGCTAGGGCCTTGAACAAACTTTTTTTTCAACATCAATTTGGGACAACCTTCCCCAGCCCAATATGCTGACTAGAGGAATAATTCAGTGCTGCAGTGAACATCTTTGGTCTTGGTTAATGATGCATACGAAGTCAATCTTTTTGCCACAAAAACCAACCAAATGCCAGTGTATAGTTTCAAATAGTATAACTAAGAGAAATACCGAAAGACAATGCTAATATTACCTGAAAAATGACATCTGAAAGAAACTAGCAGAAGAGGCTTTTCCAGTTACTGTGAACCCACGCTCCACCAATAACATAAAGTTTAAGTCCCACATAAGAATTTCAATGCACAGTATTCAACAGCCCACAAACACGCTCACATTTGAAGATCTTAAACCATTTGAACACTTTCAAATAGGAAATACATACACAATAAAAGTATAGCAAATTTTGCCACAACATTTAATTCAAGCAAACACCCAATGACTAACTTTACATTACATGCCATAGAGGAAATAGCAACGTGCAATAAAACCAATTTTAACTGTTAAAATTATACTCAAGAATTACAAGTTTATATTTAAACAGATCCTCGGTGTCAGGGCCTCCCTAGCATACAGATATCTCTATAAATCTGTCTGGATATGTATTGAGAAAATATAAGCAGGCGATGTGGCTTAAAATCAATATTCTACAGTGGCAACAGTTCAACAAAGTGGCAAGCTAGATCAATGAGACACAACGGAGATATAATACTGTGTATTTAGCTAGGACACCAGGCAGATAGTATCTTTCAAACTGGCACTGACAATGGTCACTTTCCATATTGATCAATCTGTATATGTCATCTTAATAATGGGGCATTATCTGTCGATTTAATCAACTACTACCAGAATATATATTAGAAAATAAACCCTACTAAAGCAAAAAAAAAAAAAAAAACAAAGAAAAATCATGACTTTTTTGTTCATCTTTTCTCCAAATTTCAGTACCATCATTCCTACAGAGTTACTCATTCAACAGCCTTGCTTTATTCCTTTGCAAAAATTGGGGCAATATGCTGAATCCCTGATTTTGCAGATTCTGTATGTCAATCTCAAATATCAGAATTAAGATATACAATTTGGATGACCTTTCACAATTTTGATGACAGGGAGATGCAAATATATTGCAATATCAGGGAGGCAATATCAAGTTCAAAGCATAGAAGAAAACTTGCCACTGATTTTGAACATATTTTCCACTCCATCCTGTTGATATAAAGTCAAGGAATGGTAATAATCACCCGCACACCTTTCACCACTGTTGTGAGATGAATGCTTGAGAGAGCCACACCCCCCCCCGGCAATCCTTCAATCATGAATAACAATGTAGAAATGTTTGCAATTGTGACTGATAACATATAAAAAACACACCAGAATATCAGAGTATTTCAGTGACACTGATCAGGTATGAGCTAAAGTTATTACTAGTATATTAAATTTTTTAAAATCTATTTTATATTAAATTTAAAATTGACACTAACTCTCCCTTTTTGAATAAATTACAGTATTAAAATCAAAGTGAACTAACGACATTTATATATCCCATCTACATCCCAGTTATATCTGTTGAAATAGACATGTTAATTACTTCTCCCTACTTACAAGAATAAGAGATGCCCTGACCTGGATGTAAGATAAATATCATGCATCTGTCCAAGAACTGTTCACAGCTATTCATTCATGAATATAATCTTTTCCCGTTGCTTTTTCTTGGGCGTAATCATTACAAGACAACAGCAAATCAGTGGTCTCTGTATTTTACCTATACTATCTCTATTACCAAAAGGCACGTCTTTCTTGTGAAAGTAAAACTACCCCCACAAATTAACACTACAGGTGAGGTCACATCATGTTAATCCAGATAGCCAACTTCATCCCATCTTCAGGTCACATTAGCATAGGTCCTCTTATTGGAAATTTCTAGCACCAGTCAACAGGTCTGATCATGACCTTAATGGGTTAATGCCCTGATGTTTGACCTGCCATGACTCTCTATTACCCTTCACCTCACAGTCCACATAATACACACTTGACTTCTTCTTTGAAGGCAGTGGAAAAATAAAGTGAAAACTCAGATGTTTGAATAGGGTGGTTTCATATCAGTTTAATGCAGGAAAGTAAGATCTCAATATAAAAACCATTGCACTGAGGAACTTATTTTCTATTTTCTATTTATTTACTTTATTTTTTTAATTATAATTTTTACTCAATGTTATTAAAAGACAGGTCAGATATAGTCAATTACGAATATACCACTTATTTTAAACATTTCAGGTGCACAGTTCTGGTGCAAATAAATCATCTTGAGGCAAACTTAACTTCAAAGCTTCAAATTTGTCACTTGACTTATCACCTAAGATAATCTCCAAAGTTAATGATGGAGTGGTACAGACAGCTGAAGGACTCAGAGCCTTACTCTGGCAATGCAAAGTAACTAGTTACGTAACACCAAATATGAATCCATATAGCTCTAACACATGACATACTAAGAGGAGGCAAAATTTGATACATTACTCAATGAATTTATATTAATGATTTTGATTATTTAGTGGTTAAAGAAAATGTATAAACTTACCTATTATTAATTATTATTTTATAAATAATAATGATATGGCTCAAATTGTCAGTTAGCTTATAATTTTAGTGCTATAAAATTCTCTTTTTATAACATACAATACTGGGGCTCTGCTTTTTTAAACTCAGACCCCATTCCCACAGATTTTAGATCGATCTATCCCTTTGGGGAGTCTAGATTACTGTCAGCTTAGCTGGCTTAAAGGGATAATAACTCTTCACATGAGATCTATATTTCACAATAAAAACATTGTCAATAACTCAAACAAATATAATATATTCTGTTTTACCACAAAAACGGCAGTTATAGCTATTATTCTGATATCTGAGCTTGTCTTCAAACCACGTGACCTCCATTGATGGCTATACTCTGTTATAATCTCTTAAGAGATTTTAACAAAAAACCAATCTTTAGAGAAAAAAACCAGAGACTAACTTTGAATGCAAAAATGGATTCATTAACCATTGGTAAGTATGGGAAAATTGTTGTTTACTCCAGGAAAATTCATTTTTTGGCCAAAACAAAGAGTTATTATCCCTTTAAGCATCTGTCCCACCTACAAAAAGCTGTAAGGGGTTAATTAACTACCATGCGCGCTCGGCTGACAGCAATTTAGCATGAACCCCCAGGGAGTTAGGTTGATCTAGATGGATTGATCTAAATCTATGGGAATGCAGTCTAAGAGAAGAATCAAACATAAAGTTAATTTAATGTTGGATTAAAATGTGTTCTAAGGGCATGGACGGCTCCTTGTTAAACTTATCTTAGGGCAATTACTAGTTAAACTTTTTTAACTGAGATGACAGATAAATAGCCATTATCAATATCACAAAAAAATCATATTCACTGTCCCCTGTCCAACCTTGGCAGTCGGCTATATGAAACAGTTTGGAAAGAGTGCGAGTCACTGCGCAAAAGCATCAGGGTATCAGAAGTCGAGTCAATGGAATGATTGGTGTATCTCTAAAACCTCTGTTTATGCGCAGATTTTGGTTTTTGCTTTTTCCGTCGCGGTAGAGCCTAGTAATTAAAACTCAGAGCCGAGATTGAATCTGCTTAAGGGCGCATGTGGAGGCAGGGAGACCATCATGGAATTAGCAGCATTGCTTCTGAAGTGGGGTTAGCCATATTTAGTCAGCGGATCAATTAGTACTCGGATCATCATATCATCTGTATGGCCCCATATTCAAATGCAGACGTAATGGGTGAAGTTATAGATTACATTCAATTTCTCTCCAACTGCTACGCTTTAGTTTGATCATTTTTTTATTATCACTAAATAAAATATCTGGGCTTATTAGTCAACAATTAATTCCATTGTTGACAACAAAACTTGTTTATCCTCCTGTACTTTCATTCATGCTTTTTTTTTAAGTTGGAAAATATGGCTGGGGTTTAGAGGGCTGCCCAGGCCCCAAAAGTTTTGGCTCCCAAAAAGTCAGAAATCCACCAATAGTCAGTAAAATCTCATCCCTGTAATTTCCACGTGAGAAACCATTTAAAGGCACTTTTTTCTATGCATAATGAAAATATGATTAAAGTTTCCGCTAGTAGTATTACTTATATGCTAGGATTTACAGAATAAATCAATTTATTTTTTAATTATGTTTCCTTGTAATGATATACAGTGCATTTTGATGGTTGTACTAGACTTAAGTTAACCAAGTATTTCCACAGACATGAAATAAGGTACATAAAGAAAGGCTTCATACAGCATAATAAGTGTTTATGATCTCAAACCACAGATTTGTGATCGTGGACATTAAATAAAGACTCAACTGGTAATTTCATGGGGGCAACATAAAGTGATAGTGGTCCTGAGCAACATATGAAAGAGCACAAAAATGTGGCCAACTTTCATCTAGGTCTCTCACTATTTACATACATTCTTCTCAATATCACACTATTAACAATACCAGAGTACTTAATGTTCTCCCGGAAATCTTTGGCACATGACACTTGTTAATAACATACCCAACATACGGAATAATGATTTTCAACTTGCAACATTGTGCCCATGCCTACTATTTTTAAGTTTGAGTTGTTAACTCAGCATTCGCTATCACAAATGTGAGGCTTGAGATCACAAACAGCAAGTTTGTTTATAAGGCGTGGAATGCATGAAAAAGATTTCAGCGTATCATTCTCTCCTGAACAGGTCATTTCGTTCAAACTGCTGTAGATCATTCATCTTGGGTTTAACCACAGCAGAAAACTTATAAAATCTAATAGTTAAGCATATGAATCTTCTCTCACTTATGGCTGTCTTGGGGAAAATGGTTGGCTTTCTCTGAGTGTGCAAGACATGAGTGAGAGATGAATTAGATTAAGATTTTACACCCCCCCCCACCCCCACCCCATGATGGTGGATGTGCAAACTAGACATCAAAATACAGTTTTGGGGGCTATTTGCTTTCATAAGTAAGCACAACTCTGTGTCAGAGACTGTATATAGTACCCATATACTGATGCAGGAATTCTCGTGCTAAGCAAAGATTTAAATATGGTAGGTGATAGGCATAGATTTTTAAACTCTGCAATCACTGTGTTCCATATTGCGAATGATCCATGACTTTGTCAAAATTTTTTATCTGCAGTGAAGTGCAAAAAAAAAAGATACATTTTGGCAATATTTATTATTGGTATTTATCTATTAAAAATCTTAAAAGTAAGTATTTGTCCTAAGATTAGTAAAACACAAAGTGATTTTTGTACTTTAAAGTTAAAATGCGAGTTTAAAATCTTATGCTTATCCCTTTAAAACCAACCCTGATGCTTACGCTGTCGTTACTATCGTAGGCCGCAGTTGTGCGTAATAGTTACTAATACAATCGGAACCTACCAGTTTCCCGTTATTTCCAATAGATAAGTCTGAACAAAGTACTCCCGTTACTAATATGTCTCTTAACCATCTAACATAAAAGTTTCACTGTTGCACAGGCTAAATGAAATCATAACTTACTTTCATCTTTCTAATCTTAACATCAATGGAAGTCCCCGTCTTATTCAAAAACTTACCCCAACTTGTCCTAACACAGCGAAAACTTTGTTAGGTTTCACATTAAGTTTGCAATTTCCTTCCCTCGGAAAGTCTCCGCAGTAGGTCGAATCTTATCTTAGTCGAAGCCACATCTTTAAACCTTGCGCTTTCTTTGTATTTCGTCTCGAAAAATAAAACTTTGACGTCCTTATTTCAGCAGAAGTATAATAATCAATTTTGACCTCTAGGTCAACGTAGGCGATATGCCCCGCAGAAATGTTCCGGTAGAGTTCTGATTGGTTGACAACAAATACATCCGCTAGGTGGCTGACAAGCACCTGCATCGCCGTATCTCACTGTATCTTTACTCTTCACTTGTCGTGTCGGGGGAACGACACGAAAAAAGTTCACTTCTGACGTTACCTATTAGTTAGATTATCCATAACCAAATATAAAAACATATGTACATGACATGCCATTTAATACGGTTTTTAATGTATGATTCAGCCAGTCAAAATTTTAATTTCAAGAGGGGACCATCGGTGTGATTTTTTTTTTCAGAAATGAAAGGGGATCGGTCCCCCCTGGCACCCCCTATATCCCCATTAAATGATAACTAATCAAGTTTTATGAACTTGTAAATGGATTTATAATTTTTACCCATCGTATATGACTTATCTATGTTTTTTATTTTCATTATATTTTTATTCATTTTAATTTAAATATGATGGTTTTGTTTTAAAGTGTTCAGCGTAATAACAGATGCCAGCCTGATATAAAATAAAGAAAGAAATGAAAAAATCTTTGTGACCCTCTTCGGCTGTAAATTATTGATTCTCATGACGTAGTGCGCTTCAAAATGAACACCTGGTTAAGGTTAACCATCGCTCCTATTATCTGAAAACAAAAATGGTGACATACAGTACAATGTACAGGTACATGTATCAACTTTCATTCTTGTATTGATATGATAACCAAAGAGTATAACAGCACTATACTTTGTCTCTTAAAAAAACTTTTTTATTTCAAAAACACAAAAACAGCCCAAGTCGACATGAACAGGCAATTAAAGGAGTGAAAAAGTATTCACAATTTCACATCTATAATAAATTTCAAACTGTTTTATGCCAAATCTTGATTACGTGGTAAATGTACAGGACACAAATATTTAGAGATACTTATAAATATAAATGTCTTTCAGAGGGAATTCTTTTGAATAATGTACAAATGATGCAAGTTACAGCAAATCAAAGCATGCATCTGCTTATAAATAAACAAACTTGCATTGCTTGTACCTATTTTGTAATAATGTATGTACCAGCTAGTAATATTCAAGCTCTCTTTTTAGCAGTTACATTCTTAAATCTTACTATTTACAGCGCACTACAGCCAGAGTTTTGTGTTTCATTTGAAATATTTGTGTGTACATGTAATGCAACTGGGTTACTTCCCCCCCCCCTCCCCCCCCTCCCCGAGTAGCCTGCTTTGGATCACCACGACCATTATATAATTGCCAGACAACCAAGTGCATAGTCATCATTTAGACCCCATTCCCATAGATATTTAGATCGATCTATCCCCCTGGGGAGTCTCACTAGATTGGTGTCAGCTTAACCGGCTTAAATGTCTGTCCCGCCTACTAAAAGCTGTAAGGGGGTAATTAACTGTCAAGCCAGTTTTATTTTGCACAAATGATTCGTATGTATTCCTCTGAAAATTCACTGTAAAAAAATAAGCTAATGTTTTTCTTCAGTTTCCTTCATAATAGTTAAAGGATATACTCTGTATGTATGTAATTTAAATAAATGTGTGAGTTTCACAGCTAAATTATGACATGAATACAGGCCTGTAGCCAGCAATTTCAAAAGGGGGGTTCTTTTTTTGAAAAAGTGGACCTTTTCCCATAAAAACTTCATGTACCTAGATAAAATTTTACTCAGAGTGGATTTTTCCCAGCAAAAGGGGCGGTTCTTTTGAACCCCAGAACCCCCCCCCCCCCCTGGCTACGGGCCTATGAATATTATAATTATAAATATGTTTTAATGTTGTAATTTCAATTTATCAAACACCCACACAATACTATTTTCCATGGTCAGTGATCCTAAACCAAGGTTATTTCTGGAGAGGTGATGGCAATGACTTTATGGTTGTGTGGGATTGGGACATCATGCAACGTGAACATCCTTACACAGTCTAACACCCAGTGAAGAGAATCTTTGTTTTTAACAAAAAAATCACAGCTGGCTGGATTCGACCAGTTCAAATACATATCCACCTCTGCATCTTTGGGAATCGACTGCAACGCTTTTTGTAGGAGAAGTTTGGAAATGAGGAGAGAGTCCGCAAAAAGGGGCGCCATTCTATACGCCGTCTGTCCAGGCTGGACACTCGTGTACCCAGTGATATCTCCACTCTTTTTGTTGATGGCTACAAAAGATTTTGACGATGGTCGAGCTAAATATTTTTCTAAAAACATTGGTCTTGGAATGGTGTGAATTTCTGTATCATACTTCAGCAGTAAATCAAATGGCACTTTAGATGCTGTCACGACTTCAGTTTCGACATTTTCTCTTTCTGCTGCCAACCAAGACTCATTGATTCGCCCCAAAACAAGTCCAATTCTGTGGGTGGCGACCTGGAAGCCACTGTCATGGAGAATCTGCTGTCTGTGTAACACAGAAAATACGCCTAAATTCCTATCTCCAATCCGCTTACTTCTCTCTGCCCACATATTTTTGACTAGATAAAGTAAAAAAAGGGAATTGGTGATATAAAAGGTTTAGAACTAACACAGGTGAAATTTGGTATCCCTAAACACTGGATACTTGTAAGTATTGTAACAATTAAGAACCAAACACCAGTGGAACAACAAAATTTGAAGAAAAAGATAAATGACGGCTGGAATGAGGCTCACATATATAAGTTAAATGTAACAGCACGTTTTGCTCAGATCTCTGTTTGTATTCATGTAACTCACTTCTTCGTTTCACCTCAGACTTAGGATATTACAGTATCTCACAGGTCAGGGTTTCCATTACTGACATAAGGTGTGTCTATTGAGGCAAATGATGATTTACTATCTAGATATATAGATGTGAAAAACTTATTTCAGCTAGTCAAACTGTATTTTCAAACTTATTCAAATTTTGATAGATAGGAAAACTGTTGCCAAACGACCTCTTAAACTTGATAAATAAAATAGTTTATTACCTATTCCCTTTCCTCTGAGTTCTGGTACAATAGCGCTAAGACCACCAAAGGCTTCTTTTTCATCCAAAAGATTGAACAGCATGGAACCTTTAAGAAACAAAACACACATTTTGTCTAAAATAATCTGCAGTAATAGCTATGACTGTTAAAAAGAAATCAAATATGCCTTTTTTTTGCAAGACAGGTATGGCAGATAAGAGTAGGTATATTCTTGTGGTCAGATTCACCATTAAAATTCAATAACATGATACTATGTTATTAATTAATTACATCTATTCAAAATAATGTGTCTATTTGCATTTCAATGCCTTAATGTGCAAAACTGGATCCAAAAATAATAAAACCAAAAATATTTGTCCATTTCCCTAACAAGATGTAGGGGAGACTCATAAGGAATACCATACCAAGGTAAGTGCAATGGAATCTTACATAATTTCAGATCAACATGTCCATTCATTTCATGATGTCTATCATTTCAGTCATGTGATCAACAAAAAAGGAGGGATCGAGTGATCAGAAAAAAGTGACCACAATGTGTCCAAACTAAGGCAGTTGACATAAAGGTATATACATGGGAACTCACTCAAACTTCCAAGTATTTTCCTGGATATCAGACAAGGAAAGGTCACGTGGGATATGCCCCAACCCCTTCATGGAAAGGTTTTTAAAAAAAGAGTGTTTACCAACAACTTTTCCATCCAATTCTGCCACCAGGGCATTGTCTCCGGCAATGTCCACAAAGGTTTCTATGGTCTCCGGAATGTAGTCCCATGACTCGGAATTATAGATGTCTGTCAGACTTACTGCATCTTTCTTATGTGCAGTTCGTATTTTAACACGGGAAGATGCGTCTCCTGCACCTGACGAACATGTTCTAAGTCTGCAAGTGCAACATTTATATATTTATGTGAATGGGTCCCGCAGAGATTTACCTTTATTATTCAAATCATTGGATACAATATTCATGAGAATATCACTTTAAAAAATGCCAACAAAAGTAAAACCATTCCCAGTCAATATAGTATACTAAATAAAGTTGATAGACAAACAACATCACAATATAAAGAAGATATTATTGACAGAAAACACCCCAACAGCATGCTTTCAATCCAAATACATGTATTTTAACTGTCTTATTTAATACTACTGTGCAGAAAATATCCTTCAAATATTAATTACACACTACATACTATAGTTTGTCTTCAAGAAAATCAAAGAGTAAAACAGCCCACAGCTGAAGTTACATACGACATGAGTTTCTCTCCCATGAAGTAAGTGCTCCGACCAAAAAACATGTGGGGGTAGCCCAAGGACGCAGATTTTGTTACCCAGTGCCGCAGCATGTTTTACGCCATGTTAGTACTGGAAAGGAAATACGCACATGGTATGCAGAGCATTTTAATTTATTTCTATCCATTGGTTGCCTGGTGAACAGCTTCGTCTTGAGGTAATATATAAGAACACATATATGTAACATTTAATCATTACGTCATTATCTGTTATAATGACCAAAAATAGTTACACTGTAACTCTTACTAAATGATGGAAAGTTAGAGACAAAAATATTATTTCAAAGTTCACTGTGATGATTGTCACAAAACCTTTGGTATACAGTACCAGTGAGTATAGTGTTAGGCTTCGTTCACATGCAATGTCTATTTTCTAAATTCTATTTTCTATTTGCGGTATGTCTTATGATCACGGTCTGTGCCCTTAATATCCTGCGGTGTAATTACTGGCAGCGCGAGCCAGTTACTATAAGTTACTATAAGCGGCGGGATATTCAGGGCACAGACCGTGATCATAAGATAGCGCAAATACATGTAGAAAATAGATTTTTAGAAAATAGACATTCCATGTGAACGAAGCCTTAGAAATTACTCATAAACAGTTTTTCAAGTTACAAAAGTATTCAAGATGTCTTGACTTCTGCACAATAGTTAGTTAGAGATGTGAACCCTGGAACATAGATCTACGATAAAAACTTGAAAATTTCGTCACTTAGAAATTAATTCATATTTTAAACTGCCTGAATCCGACGAATTTTTTTCAAAATTACGTTTCCCCGACTCCTAGGTTTGACAAAACTTTCAAAACTCCTACATTAGGGTGCCCTGAGTGTCAGGGCCACTGTAAAGCTAGCTTGCGAACTATTCAAACGTTTTCATGGGTATCAAGATCGAGCTGGGAAAACTGAAATCTCTAGCCCTAGGGAAATCTTAGGGCTTTTATCCTTAGGCTTATCGATTTGGCGATCGTTTTAGCCTCATCGTTGTACCTCGCATATTTTGGGGTATTTATCACTACTTTCAAAGTAACTTTCTGGTGGTGAATAATAATCTGTTTATTAGTGCATCTGGATTTCATTATCATAAACTTGCCCTTACTTTCATTAGAATTGTTTTCCTGTAAAGAAATATACCTCCAGATAGGGGAGAGAGGCCAAGATAAGCATGCATGCAGGTTTGGATGCCAGGCCGTTCAAAATTACCATCTGTAACTTCTTACTAAATCACAGGGACCTCAATTTTCCCAAGTGCCGTGAGCAGGGGAGGGGGTTAAAAAATTATATATATATATATATATATATATATATATATATATATATATATATATATATATATATATATATAGGTAGTGCTGTAGTGATTATGGATACCGACATTTATGAAAAATTATGTCTGAATATCTAAGATGACGAATCATACTATGAAAAAATTACGACCTATCACCCCAAAACTACTATGCGCAAGTTAAACAATCTTTTAGCGCTACATGGGAAAGGCCTACTAGATAAGGAACGTGACTATCTCACACAATTTTAATACAAAGTGAGCAATTTCTATGGACTCCCTAAAATACATAAAAGCGAATGCATCAACAAAGCATGCAAGACAACAAAATCGACCTACGTAGAAGTCAATGATACGAGTGATTTAAAAATGCGTCCAATTATAGCTGGGCCAGCATGCGAAACTCACAGACTTAGCAATTTTCTAGACATTTTATTAAAACTCTTTACCAAAGAGGTAAAAAGCTACATAAGGGACACGGTGGACTTCCTTAACAACTTGCCAAAAAATATTAACGAAAATTCGATACTAGTTTCCTTCTATATTACCAACATGTACTCAAACATCCCTCATGATCTGGGCATTGAGGCTATCAGCTACTGGATAGAAAGATACCCGTCACATATTCCAAAACGTATCCAAAATACCCTCATTACAGAAGGACTTAAGTTCATCTTGACAAACAATACTTTCCACTTCTATGGCAAACATTATCGCCAAAAAATAGGAACTGCAATGGGTACAAAAGTAGCCCACACTTATACTACACTTGTCTTAGGATACATAGAGAAAGGCCTTTACGAAAAATGCGACGAACGGTTTGGACTCGAATTTAGGAATCAATTAGAAAACACATGGAAACGTTTCCTTGATGACTGCTTTATAATTTGGGACAAAACAGAAAATGAATTGGAAGACTTCAACCTGATCCTTAACAACCTACATCCCTCTTTACAATTTACGATGGATTCAAATTCAACACAACTCCCATTCCTCGATATTATGGTAATGAGTGTAAAAGGAAAAATTGAGACAGATGTGTATTACAAAACAACAGACACAAAACAATATCTCCCTTTTAACTCGTGTCATCCCAGACACATTAAGCACAACATACCATACAACCTAGCTCGAAGACTATCCACAATTGTCTCAAATGAAACCACATTAAAACAAAGGCTCAAAGAGCTGGAAGGATTACTATTAAGGAGACAATACCCAAGACAACTGATACAAACTGGGATTAAAAATGTAAAACAGATACCGAAGAACGACCTGAGGACCACCAAAGACAAAATTAAAAAGGAAGCCATACCGTACATATCAACATATAATCCAAAAAATCCGGAAGTACACAATGTCATAACTGGAAACTTACCTTTGGTAAAACAAGATGACAAAATGAATGAGATACTAACTGAAATGCAGATTATAAAGAGTAAGAGACAAAATCCATCACTTAAGCAAATTTTAACAAAAGCAAAATTTGAAAACAATTCCAGAACAAATGTGGAAACCTCAACAATACGAGTACAGAAATGTGAGGTACCCAGGTGCGGCACCTGTCCACTAATTAAAGAGGGGTGCCATCTAACATTTAAAAATGGCCTTACATTTAGAATTAACACCCATTCACCTGCACTAGCTCAAATTTAATTTATGTATTAACTTGCAGTGGATGCGGTGAGAACTATATAGGACAAACTGGAGACACTCTCCGACATAGAATGACCGTTCACAGACAACAAATAAGACAACCTAAATAACAGTGACGTCTGTGAGTGGGCACATTAGGGAATGCTCTATGAACAAAAACAAGGACTTTATTCCATTTATCCCATTTTATAAATTCACTAGGGAAACAACCCAAACAGAAAGGGAAATGAAAGAAAACCTATTCATTAATAAGTTCATTAATACGTTCTGTAAGTTATCTGCTATTAAAAGTGCTCTGTGTGAACCTGCAGCCTCATCGTGCAAACTAGAATTGTTCCTAAGGTGCCCACTATCAAATGATAGTCAAGTGGTTTCGAGATTATTCCTTAATTTGATCTGGTTCAGGTTTTCGTCGATGACTACCATTGGTGTTTTGGCACCAATGTGGTATCTACTCCAAATACTGACGCTGTCAATCGCCCTTGTCACTTTAGACCCGGCATATGCTTCGTCGTAGGCCTCTTCTGGATATCTGTAAACTCTATTTTGACTAATTGGGCGGTACAGGTGAAATCTGACCTCAATAAAGAAAGCCACGCAGTTTCAGTGTTCTACCCAGAAACGGTCATGGCCCCCAATTCATTAGAGAAACAGACGACGATGTTTTGCTGTATACAGTGGGTGCCTCGGAGGTCGTTTGGTGTTCTTACCTGCTAAAACCAGTTTGGTGTTCGCTAAGGGCTTTGAAAAACGCATTTTAGTGGCAATTTACCCCTCGTTCTGAACGGACTAAGTGTTTTTTGTTTATTTGCAGCAGAGTATCCCGAAAGACAGTGGGTCCTGTACCCTGTAGGTAAGATTTTGATACATTGGGGGTGACCTCTGTGTAGGTACATCAGTCTGGGCATTACTCTATAAAACTGTGGGGACCGTTCCGTTTGGCGCTGTGATCTGTCTGGTTATGTCTGTCTTTTTCGCGCCATTCTGCCTTAGATTAACAAATTTGTAATGCACTGCTTGACTCATCTTACGCACTGCAAAACTGGCCGCTTGCATGCAAAATTTCAAATTCTTCTATGCAGTAGTTGCCGAAATATGGATACCTTTTTGACAGAACCAAGCTTTGTTTAAAGCTACTCTTACAACCGGTCGTGCGTGCTTCTACGAGCGGTTTGCGTGCAAAAAATTGGCCAAGTAGGAAGATACACGCACGTCGAACGTACTTTTTTTGGTGGACGCAAACACGACGCAAAGCACGCAGCGCGAAAACTGGCCGGCCAGTTTTTCGCTACGACCTGTCTGCGACAACTATAACGCCTGGAGCACGCTCGTAGCACGCAAGACCAAAGCACTGAGTAAGTGCACTAGGCGTGCGTGTAACGCAGGAAAAGCATGCAGAAATTCCGGGGTATTTTACCACGAAGACGTACTTACCACGCAAGAGACTCGTACGTTCAGCTTGCTTTCAATGTACGTGTTAACAAAAAGGGGGGTGAGCGCATTTCCTCCGTGCGTTTATCTTACTTCCAAAGTGCGTGGCGAGTACTAGTACCATACTTGTGAAGTGCGTCACACTAAGACGACGCACGTGCCGAGCACGATAAAAGTGCAGGCGATCCCGAGCAACCACTGCAAGCATTGTGTCACGATCTTCGGCCTCCTTTAGCATTAGCAGCTGTAGAAGTCGATGGCGCATCCTTCTTGGAAGTGCCATTTTGGAAGCCAAAACAGTGAATGATATAGAGACTCGGTGCTCCCTTTTATATTATTTTGATTATCCGTGCGTTCCACTTCCGTGCTTATTACGTTTCTCTTACTTCGTAAGTACCATTTCTGAAAACGTACGCTTCACTTGCAATACACGTAAGGTTATCTCACTCACTGTGTGCGACACAAGTACAGACCGCACGTGCTCCTTACTTCTTCCTACTTCCAAAAAAAGGCGTACAGACCACTTGCAGGCCCCACGTTTAGAGCACGACACACCTACTCATAAAGTACTTACTACTTCGTCCGCTGCGATTTAATTTTCATCCTGCGACAACGCTATGTCTGACAAGAACTCCGAGGACGCACGATCTCTAAGCACGCACGACGGGTTGTAAGAGAGGCTTAAGCCAAGCTTTGATCAGCCCAAAGGAATACTACCCAATTAAATCACTGCAAATTACATAATGTAGCAGCGCAACAGGCAAGAAAGTCAGTTAATTGGTAGTGACACACCTGACTACACACTTTTACATTCACAAATCTTATATGAGATCGGAATTTTTTGAAAAAAGAACGTATTTTTACCTAGATATACCTTCGAAACTGAAATATTCCATATTAAATGTCAAGTCTGTATATATATATATATATATATATATATATATATATATATATATATATATATATATATATATATTTTTTTTTTTTTTTTTTTAAATTTCTAAGGGGATAGGGGTAAAAAAATAACCGGTAACGATCTCCCGCTGACGATCTTCCGAGGACGAAGTCTCTAAGTCCCTTGGAAGAATATGAATAATTGCATTCTCATCTCGCCTGCATCGCGAACGATCTCCCGATGACGATCTTCCGCGAATGAGGGAAATAAGTTTTATACTTTATTGTGTAATTCATGTATTTAATATGTTTTTATTGATAAAATTTTATGTATAAGATACATTTTTAATATGAAACAGACCTAAATCAAATCAATATCAAACAAAGTCCCTTGAAGAAAATATGAAAATTGCCTTCTCGTCTCAATTTCCTGAATTTTTTAGACTAGTGACAGGTCTTGTTTGTATTTCATAAAAATTTGTATCAGGGGCGGATCCAGGATTATTTGAAGGAGGGGTCGGTTTTTTATTTATTTATTTATTTTTTTTTAGGAACGGCAGGCCATTAATACAATACCGAACCTCGGCCCCCTTGACGTGGGGTTGGAGCCCCGCTAAAGGGCCCCGAATTTTTTTGGCGTTTTGGAGGGAAAGAGGTACTATTTGGTATGGTTTAGAACTATGAATCAGCATGTCAAACTTCTCATTTCAAGAGGGGAATATAAATGTGATTTTTTTTTCAGAAAACAAAGGAGGGGTCAGGAAGACCCCCCCCCCCCCCCCCTCTTCTTAATCCGCCACTGGTTATTTGGTATTCAAGCTCTCTTTTTAGCAGTTATACATTCTTAAATCTTACTATTTACGGCGCACTGCAACTGGCGTTTTGTGTTTCATTTGAAATATTTTTGTGTGTAATACAACTAAGTTACTTTTTCCCCGAGAAGAAGCAGCCTGCTTCAAATCACACATCGCCGCCATTAAAATGATATTTTCATTGCCGGATAACTACCCAAGTGCATAGTTATCATTTAGAAGTGGAATGGTTATCGTGAAATACTCTTTGTAAAATGTAATACTTGTTTTAACGTTTTTTTTTCTGATACATTTTCTTTAAAATAAACGTTGTCTCTATCTTACAAACGAAAACTTCTATTCTTATGTTCTACAATCAGTCACTCAATACAAAGCATTTATCAAACAAGTTTTATTTTGCACAAATGATTTGCATTTATTCCTTTGAAAATTCACTTTAAAAATAAGCTGAAGTTTTTATTTTCTCTTCAAAGTTTCCTTAATAATAGTAATAAGGATATATGCATGCAATTTAAATACATATATGAAGTTGCACAGCTAGAATTCTGATATGAATATTATTATTATTGAGTATCAATGTAAATATGAATATTAATTTCAATCTAATTTGGTATTAACAGTAATAAAAAACATTTTCCTTGATCATTGTTCCTAAACCAAGGTTATTTCTGGGGCGGTGAGGGCAATGACTTTATGGTTGTGTGCGATTGGGACATCGCGTAATGTGAACATTCTTACACCATCTATCACCCAGCCAAGAGAATCTTTGTTTTTATCAAAAAATTCACAGCTGGCTGGATTCGACCAGTTTAAAAACAAATCCACCTCTGCATCTTTGGGGATCGACCGCAGCGCTTTTTGTAGGAGAAGTTTGGAAATGAGGAAAGAGTCCGCAAAAAGGGGTGCTATTCTATACGCCGTCTGTCCAGGCTGGACAATCGTGTACCCAGTGATATCTCCACTCTTTTTGTTGACGGCTACAAAAGATTTTGACGATGGCCGAGCTAAATATTTTTCTAAAAACATTGGTCTTGGAATAGTGTGGATTTCTGTATCATACTTCAACAGTAAATCAAATGGCACTTTAGATGCTGTCACGACTTCAGTTTCAACATTTTCTCCTTCTGCTGCCAACCAAGACTCGTTGATTCGCCCCGAAACGAGACCAATTCTGTCGGTGGCAATCTGGAAGCCACTGTCATGGAGAATCTGCTGTCTGTGTAACACAGAAAATACGCCTAAATTCCTACCTCCAATCCGCTTACTTCTCTCTGCCCACATCTTTTTGACTAGATAAAGTAAAAAAGGAATTGGTGATATCAGAGGTTTAGCACTAAGGCAGGCTTTGGATATTACAGTATATATTACAGGTTTTCCATTACGGATGTAAGATGTTTCTATTGAGGTAAACAAGGCTTTACTATCTAGATATAGATGTGAAAAACTTATTTCAGCTAGTCAAACTGTATTTTCAAACTTATTCAAATTTTGATAGATAGGAAAACTGTTGCCAAACGACCTCTTAAACTTGATAAATAAAATAGTTTATTACCTATTCCCTTTCCTCTGAGTTCTGGTACAATAGCGGCAAGACCACCAAAGGCTTCTTTTTCATCCAAAAGATGTAACACCACGGAACCTTTTAAGAAACGTACATTCTGTGATTCAAATAATTTGCGATAATAGATATGACTGTATAAAAGAAATCAAATATGCCTATCTTTCGCAAGAGCCGCCAGGTATGGCAAATGTAAGAAAGGATATTCCTGTGGCCGGATTCACCATTAAATCAGATTCAATAACATGAAACTGCGCTTAATTATATTCTCCATCTTTTACATCTATTCAAAACCATGTGTCAATTCGCATTTCAATGCAAAACTGGATCAAAGTTATGTAATAAAATCAGAAATATTGACTTTTTCCCCTTTTAAGATTGTAGGCCTACCCAACTACCAGACTCTGCACCGAATGATCCTGAATTCACCGGTAGATCGGACCAAACTAGCCGTTTTCAAGGTGTACGTCAGTAAGCGCTTCGAAGTATCAGACGCGACACCGCTCTTGCCTAGAAGACTATAGTACGCGATGTGATAGTGATGATTCTCAGCGGGGTTGGAAAGTAGTGTATCTCATCTCGAAATATGTGTCGTTGTATGACACTGTATTGGGGGATGGCTGAGGGGAGACTCGTAAGGAAAACTATGCTAAGGCAAGTGCAACGGATTACGCTCGGATCGACATGTCAATTCATTTCATGATATCCATTCATTTCAGTCATTTGATCAACGAAAAAGGACGGAGTGATCAGAAAAAAGTGACCACAATGCGTCCAAACTAAGGCAATAGAACTAAAAATTTATGCACTGGAAGTCACTCAAATTGCCAAGTATTTTCCTGGATATCAGACAAGGAAAGGTCACGTGAAACTCACCCTAACCCCTTCATGGAAAGGTTTTTTTTTTTTTTTTTTTTTTTTAAGGAGCGTTTACCAACAACTTTTCCATCCAGTTCTGCCACCAGGAAATTGTCTCCGGCAATGTCCACAAAGGTTTCTATGGTCTCCGGGATGTAGTTCCATGACTCGGCATTGTAGATGTCTGTCATACTTGCTGCATCTTTCTTCTGTGCAGATCGGATTATAACACGGGAAGATGCGTCTCCTGCACCTGACGAACGTGCTCTAAGTCTGTAAGTGCAACATTTATCTTGATATTTATGTGAATGGGTCCCGCGCAGATTAACCTCAATTATTCAAATCATTGGATACAATATTCATGAGAAATATCACTTAATAAAAAAAAATGCCATCGAAATAAAATCTTCCCCAGTCGATATAGTATACTAAATAAAGTTGATAGACAAACATCACAATATAAAGAAGATATTGTTGACAGAAAACACCTCGTCCATGTATTTAAAATGTCTTATTTTACCCTACTGCCACGAAAATATCCTTCGAATTAATTACACACCACAAAGATTGTCTTCAAGTACACAGATGAGTAAATCAAAGATTAAAACAGCCCTCAGCTGGAGTTACATACAACATGAGTTTCTCTCCAGTGACGTAAGCGCTCCGACCAAAAAACACGCGGGGATAACCCAAGGACGCAGATTTTTTTACACATTGTCGCAGCATGTTATGCGCCATATTGGTAACTGGAAAGGAAAAACGCACATGATGTGCATAACATATTAATTTATTTCTATCCATTGATTGCCAGGTGAATAGGATCATCTAGAGGTAATATATTAGAACACATATGTAACATTCAGTCATTAAGTCATTATCTGTTAAAATGACCAAAAACAGTTACACTGTACACTCTTATTAAAATGATGGAAAGTTAGAGACAAAAATATTATTTATAAGTTCTGTGATGATTGTCACAAAACCTTTGGTATACTAGTGAGTATAGCATTAGAAATTACAGTTTTTCAAGTTACAAAAGTATACAAAATGTCTTGACTTCTGCACAATAGTTGGTTAGAAATTCGAATCCTGGAAAATAGATCTGAACAGAACGGCATCCCACGTGTTCAGTAAAGACCTATTCTCTGGTTTTGGCCATTGTTAATCATTTTTGTCCAGCGTATTTGCAGTATTTGAGGTGGTGGCAAGGATTTGAGGTCCTTAAAGCCCGAGGAAGAAATTGTAGATGTGGTGTTCTGGGCACAAACAAAATTGCTTAAATGTTCGCACTGGAATCACTGAAGGAACTGTCTGTAAGATCAACTAGCGACATTGTACAAAGCAACAGGCTTCAGCACCGATTCCTTTATCTTATTAAGTAATTTTCGTTTTTTAATATCCATAAACCTTTAAATTTATCATCTAGTGCTGGTCACGTGATCTCGTCAAATACAAATGGACCACAATGGAAATAAGTTTTATACTTTATTGTGTAATCCATCTATTTAATGTTTTTATAGATAAAATTTTATGTACAAAATTCATTTTAAATAATGAAATAAGTCAAATCAAAATCAAAAGTAGCAGATGCAATATTCTGTTGGAATATTCTATCCTTTTAGCAAGAGCTTTTCTGATTTGTCCACAGATAAGTTTAACAAGAAGCGATTATTGTAATTAACACGTTTAAAATCTTACGCCGCATTCAGAACAGTGGATGGCCGACCCACTTAAATACTTCCTCACGGGGAATCTATTCAGTGTCTTTTAGTGGTTTAGACGGCAAGCTTTTTAGGGGGTCGCCATATTTGACCCTTGGACTAGTTAGATCACTGGTCTGAATGCGACCTTACATTCAATTAGAACCTTCAAAATATTGCGGATGGTAAGAGAAGGCGACCGTCCATCTCCAATTTCTCAAGCCAAGTTGGAGTAAAGATACCCCAACAAGGGATTGTTGGACTGAAATGCAGATTGCTATGGCTCTAGCACAGTAGGATCAGTGGCGGATTTTAGGGGGGTGTCATAGTTCTAAACCGTACAAAATGGCGCCATTTGCCCTACAAAACACCATTTTTTTTCGGGAACTTTGGGCGCGGCCCGAACCTGACGCCAAGGGGGTGAGGGTTGGCATCGCAATCCGAAGCCTGTCAATTCCTTAAAAAAAAAACGCCCCCCCCCCCTCCAAAAATTTTGGATCCACCCCTGAACATTAGATAGATAGATACTGATATATATATATAAAGAAAAGATACTCACGACGTGGTACCCTTATATCTCTTCTTCAGGAAGTACTGCATGTTTACCGCACAGGCCATCAATTATGTAAACCAGTTACACTAGGTCTTTTTTACGGTCTTTGTGCAGGGTTGCAGCCAGGAATGCATGTCACGCCCCATAGCCACCTGTCTCGTCACACATGACACAATTAGAAAATCACTATTTTCGAAAATAATATGTGAAGTTTATAGGGTTAAAACAGCAGAATTGATAAGGGAAAAATAAGGAGAAAGGTGCATTTTCCCCTCTGCGGAGAGTCCACATTGCCCAGATTTGTATGGTAGCAAACTACCATTACTTTTGACAAATGTTTAGGTGCTAGTCTAAAATAAGGATTTATTTCATTCTGCGAGAGAATTTAACTACTTCAAAATACTCCAAACATATTAAACAGTTTCCGCTGATTCCCAACTGCATTGCATGCTATTTCAGTAATAAATAAAACAGATCGTTTTTGCCTTTTTTCTTTTGTTTCGAGGGTGTTTATTTTAATAATAATTTTGTTTTTCTTTACAAATATAGATATAATTCACGCAGACAGAATGGCACTAAACCGTGACCAGTGGAGAGCTTTTGTCAGGGGGCTACGGCAGGAGAAGGGCGCATATCCCCCACTACGGAGAGCCTGCACTGGCCAGATTTCTTTATTTAGCAAATTACCATTACTATTAACAATTATTTTGGCTAAAAGTAAGGGTTTGATATAAGGATTTATTTCTTATTACGAGACAATTATACTACCTCAAAATACTCCAAACTATAATATCAGAGAGGCGGGGTATTGTGCCACCAGCTGGAGTAAGCGCATTTCGTATGAAAAAAAGGGGACACCACATCCAGTGCTGTGCTTGACAAGCTTTATAAAATGAGTTCTCTTTCTCTCTCTCTCTCTGTTGAGCTCCTCTCTATGAGCTCCTATTCAAGTTCAATACTAACTATGGGCATATATCTGCAGTGAAGTTCATCATGAAAAATAGATCAAAGGTCAGTTTCAAGGTCACAGTTAGATTGCGGTATATGACTATTCAAGTTCAATAGTAACTACGGGCGCGTATCTCTGCAAGTTTTGGAGATATAAGGCCCAGAAAACTTGCAAAGTGCAGTTCATCATGGAAAGTATGTCAAAGGTCAATTTTAAGGTCACAGTAAGATTACCAGCATATGAGTTCCTAAGTTCAACGGTAACTATGGGCGTATCTCTGCAAATTTTAGAGTATTTCACATTTTATTTCACCACTGAATATTGCGACTTTGCATTTTTTGATATGGCGCAACTGTTAAACCGCATGGAAAACAAAACAAAACAAAACAAACAAAAAACGACACCACTCCCAGTATTGTGATTGACAAGCTCTACCAACGTTTTTTTTTTTTTTTTTTTTAGGAATGGCAGGCCACTAATACAATGGGGACCCGCTCAAGGCACCCTGAAACATTATGACGTTTTGGAGGGCAAACGGTGCTATTTGGTATGGTTTAAGACTATCCAAATTATCGGACTTCCTATTTCAAGAAGAGAATATAAGTGTATTTTTTTCAGAAATCGAAGGAGGGGTTAAAGAACCCCCTGATCCCCCCTCCTCTAAATCCGCCTCTGGGTATGTAGTATTCAAGATCTCTTTTAAGCAGTTACATTTTTAAATCTTACTAAAGACTTGACATTTAATATGGAATATTTTTTTCCAAATCATTTTTCATCAGTTTTTTCCTATTTTGCAGACTGATAAATGAAAATAAGGATTAAAATCGTGTTTTAATAACTTTTAATTATCTCTTTGATGTCATTGTGACATCAGTTCAATAATGGAATTCGCCAGAGAAGCAAACAAAAACACATTGCCTGGTCTATGGCATACGACAACCATTAAAACGGATATTTTGGACCTCCATATTCTCCAAATTATTGTCTGTAAAAAAGTTAAACGCTCCACAAAGGACCCTCATGTCAGTGTCTAGTCACAGTAACAGTCGATGTTACGCCTGACTTCTTCTGGCTGCTTCCAGCGCTCACAAGTGGCAAGGCATTCCTTGTGATAGGTTTTTAAAGTTCAATCTGGAATAACATTCCAGGCATCGGTCAAAATCTGCCCAATTTGGTCCAGTTTTGTTGTAGGACATGTAGGCCATTGGTTCGGAGAGTAATGGCGTACCCACTTATTGTCTATGTGGTTCAAATATGGCGATTTTGATGACCAAGGTAGCTGCTCATTCCCTTGGTTCTGTAAGTAAACTGCTATTAAAAGTGCTCTGTGTGAACGGCAATCTCACCGTGCAACCTAAAATTGTTCCTAAGTTGTCCCCTATCAAATGATAGCCAAGTGGTTCCCAGATTATTTCTTTATTTGATCTGGTTCAGGTTTTCGTAGATGACTACTATTGGTGTTTTGGCACCAATGTGGTATCCACTCCAAATACGGACGCTGTTATTGACCTCAGTCACTTTAGACGCGGCACACGCTTCGTCGTTGGCCTCCTCTGGATGTCTGTAATCTCTGTTTTGGCTGTTGAGCAGTACAGATAAGATGAAATCTGACCTCAATAAAGAAAGCCACGAGATTTCAGTGTTCGACCCAGAAACAGTCAAGGTCCCCAATTCAATAGAGAAACATACAAAGATGTTTTGCTGTTTACAGTGGGTTCCTCGGAGGTCGTCTGGTATTCTAACCTGCTAAAACAAGTTTGATGTTCACTAAGGGCCTTGCAAAATGCGTTTTGGTGGTAATTTACCCCTCATTCAGTGGTTTTTGTTTAGTTGCAACAGCATATCCCGAAAAACAGTGGGTCCTGTACCCTGGTGGTAAGATTTCAATACATTGGGTGTGGCCTCTGTGTAGGTACATCAGTCTGGGCATTACTCTGTAAAACTGTGCGGACCGTTTCGTTTGGCGCAATTACCTGTCTGGCAATGCCTGTCTTTTTCGCGCCATTCTGCCACATATTAACATATTTGTAAAGCTCATTTTACACAATGTAAACCCGACCACTTGCATGCAATATTCCAAATTCTTATATGCAGTAGTTGCCGACATATGGATACTTTTTTGACAGAACCATGCTTTGCCAAAGCCAAGCTTTGAACTGCCCAAAGGAGCACTACCCAATTAAATCACTGCATATTACATAATGCAGCAGCGTAACAAACCTGGTGATCAGTTAATTGGTAGCGACACACCTGACTACACACCACTCATTCACATATCTTATATGAGATCGGAGTTTGTGAAAAAAAAAACGCATTTTCACCTAGCCATACATTCGAAACTGAAATATTCCATATTAAATGTCAAGTCTGTATTTACAGCGCACTGCAACCAGAGTTTTGTTTCATTTGAAATATTTTTGTGTGTCATACAACCGAGTTTCTTTTCCCCGAGAATAAGCATCCTGCTTTAGATCACCTACAGCCGTTAAAATGAACTTTTAATTGCCGGATAACTACCCAAGCGCATAGTCATCATTTAGAAGTTAAGAGGAATGGTTATCGTGAAAATACTCTTTGTAAAATGTAATAGTTGAAATATTTATATTGTTTGACAAATTTTCTTTAAAATTAACGTTGTCTCTATCCTACAGACGAAAATTTCCATTCTTATGTTCTACATTCAGTCATTGAATACAAAGCATATATCAAACAAGTTTTATTTTGCACAAATGATTCGCATTTATTCCTTTGAAAATTCACTTTATAAATAAGCTTTTTATTTTCTCTTCAAAGTTTCCTTAAAAATAGTAATAAGGATATATGCATGTAATTTAAATACATGTATGAGTTTGCACAGCTGGAATTATGAATATTATTATTGAGTATCAATGTAAATATGAATATTAATTTCAATCTAATTTGGTATTAGCACGCATAAAAAGGATTTTCCTTGGTCAGTGTTCCTAAACCAAGGTCATTTCTGGGGAGGTGATGGCAATGACCTTATGGTTGTGTGGGATTGGGACATCATGGAGCGTGAACATCTTTACACAGTCTATCACCCAGCGAAGAGAATCTTTGTTTTTATCAAAAAATTCACGGCTGGCTGGATTCGACCATTTCAAATACATATCCACCTCTGCATCCTTGGGAATCGACCGCAGTGCTTTTTGAAGGAGGAGTTTGGAAACGACGAGAGAGTCCGCAAACAGGGGCGCCGTTCTATACGCCGTCTGTCCGGGCTGGACAATCGTGTACCCAGTGATATCTCCACTCTTTTTGTCAACGGCTACAAAAGATTTTGACGATGGTCGAGATAAATATTTCTCTAAAAACATTGGTCTTGGAATAGTGTGGATTTCTGTATCATACTTCAGCAGTAAATCAAATGGCACTTTAGATGCTGCCACGACTTCAGTTTCAGCATTTTCTCCTTCTGCTGCCAACCAAGACTCGTTGATTCGCCCCGAAACGAGACCAATTCTGTCGGTGGCAATCTGGAAGCCGTTGTCATGGAGAATCTGCTGTCTGTGCGACACAGAAACTACGCCAAAATTCCTATCTCCAATCCGCTTACTTCTCTCTGCCCACATCTTTTTGACTAAATAAGTTAAAAAAAGGAACTGGTGATATAAAAGGTTTAGAACTAATGCAGGTCAAAATTTGATAGTTCTACTTTAAATATTGCAACAAAAACTGCTCAAGAAATGATAGATAAACCTCTAAAAACCTTATAAATAAAATTGTCTTTTACCTATTCCCTTTCGTCTGAGTTCTGGTACAATAGCGGCAAGACCACCAAATGCATCTTTTTCATTCAAAACATTGACCATCACGGAACCTTTAAAACAAAAAGTACGTTCTGTGTCTTAAATAATGTGCTGTTACAATTATATGACTGAATAAAGAAATCAAATATGTCTCATTAGCGCAAGGTACCCAGGTATGGCAGATAAAAGTTATAAAATATTCTTGTTGCCGGATTCGCCGTTAAATCGGATTCAATGACATGATACTCTTTGCTTAATTAAAGGGATAACACCTCTTCGCATGGCATTCAAAATTCCACAACAATACATTGAAACACATACAAAATAGAATGAATTCCATTTTACCACCGAAATGGCAGTTAATGCAACTTTTCTCAAATCTGTGCTTGCCATCGGACCACGTGGACCTT